GAGCAGCATCTCTTTCCAGAATTAGTGTCCCACAGAGCTCACCGTTAATGGTTTTCAAATTTGTTTGGTGGAAAGTACTTTTGATGAGTAATGGACAATCCACAGAAAAACTGATCAACCTCCTCTCATGTGTGGCTGCTGTGAATAGACAAAACAGATTAACTGTGCATGAATTTATTAAGCTTCCTGTCACGTGTGAGTCACCTTGCTGACACAGTTCCTCATAATAAGTAAGTGGGCTCAGCTGGTGGTGAGTATACTGTAAGGCCTGCCACACCCAGAGTATCTTTTGCTACTGTGTTTGTGTATTTAACTGTGACATAAGCAGAGCACCATTGACATACATGATGATGAATTGTATAATGTTATAGTAACAGGTGTTTCTAATATTTTGTCCAGCCTATTTATATCAATGAGGGTAGGCTAAGTAACCAAAGCACCTTTTTGCAGCAATATAGTTCAACAGCACCACACCACCAATGCAGCCTCCAAAATAACCATATAGTTGAGTCAATACCTCTTTATAACAGTTTCAACAAAAAATAACATTGTAACTTTCATGAAGGTACATTATTGGAGAACCGTATTAGACTGCATTAATTTAAGTTAGGTGTACCTAATAAACTGAGTGCATATTTTACTGTGGTTTACACCAAGACATCAAAGGCAGTTTTGCCACTAATCTCTGTAGCAAACATGTATGTGTGGAGGAAGAATTGTCTGTTAATTACTCATTTCCATGTTTAACAACCATATGTGTGTGTGTGTGTGTGTGTGAGAGACATAATTCTAATATTATCATGTCATTGTGACATGACATGGAATGTGATGTCCACTCTGCCAATCAGAATACATAACTCATTAACTGACAAGAGTCATTTCAAGTTATTGACTGTCAACAATGGGTAATCAAGAGACACAAGACAACTTGCATTATTTCTGGAAAGACAACAGTGCCCAGACGACTCTGGAAATCTTTCGTAACAACTTCTGGTCTATCATGGAAGATGAGACCATGCAGGCTCATCTTAATGCAGAAGCCTACAAGGTGGCTGATATGATTGCTAGAGATAGGGGCAGTCAGAAGAAGGCCAAGTCCAAGGTAGACCACCAGACTTGTGAAAACCTTGGGAAGGAGAGCTTCTGGTCTGTCATGGAAGATGAGGACATGCATACTCATCTCAAGGAGGAAGCGTGCAAAGTGGCTGACTGGATTTCCAGAGGGTCAGGTAATCAGCGGATCTCCAAATACAAGAACGAACGGGGGACTCTAAAAAAAATCACAGTGCAAAACTTCTGGACCTTGATGGATGATGAGGCCATTCAGGACCATCTGAGACAGGAAGCCTTTAAGGTAGCTGAGATAATTGCCAGAGACTTGGCGTCTAGCTCTCAGGACAGTCTAAGCAGAGTGGAGGGTGAAAGTCCTGCTGAGGTATCCATCCCTCAGCCGTCTTTCACCTCTACTCCTTCTCCTCTGATTACAGCGAAACCATTTCAACCCACCCAGGTGACACAGTCTTCTTCAAAGACTGCTGAAGACAAGCAGCGACTGAAGTCGTTGTCCAATCCTAAAAACAGCATGGACCATATCTTCATACTGCTCAGCTCTTATGACTGGCAACAAAAACTTGATGGTTTAACATCCATTCAGGATCTGGCAAGTAACCACCCAGAGAAACTGAAGGCCACACTTCGTAAGGTCTGCGTAGGCGTCATAGAAGAGGTTAAAAACCTGCACTTTACGGTGTCCTGCGCTGCTATGGCCACCCTGGGTGAGATGTATGCTCACCTCCAGAGGGCCATGGATGACATGGTGAAGGAAACAAGCCATGCCCTGATACTGAAAGTGTCTGAGTCCAACATCATCATCCAGCAGCAGGCAAATCTCGCATTGGACACCATGGTTCAAAACTGCAGCCCTGGTTGTACCATGAACGCCCTGCTGAATGCCGGGCTGAGTCACTGCAGCGATGCAGTTAGAGCAAGCACAGCCCAGCACCTCAGCCAGTTATCTAACATACTTGGAGCCACATGGACCCTTACAGGTGGCGAGAACTTCACCAAACGCTTCCTCATTGCTGTGAGCCAAATATGTATGGATGCTGCAGCGGACGTGAGGCGCCACGGACATGACATCGTCAAAAACATTTCCACCCACAGAGCCTTCCAAAAGCAGTGGAAAGAGGCTGTCCCAGAAAAGAACAGACACTCGCTGGAGGGACTCGTGAAGAAGCTGAAAACGGCAAAACTGAGCCAAGGCAAAGGACTGTAATTATATTACAGTGATTAATAATAATTGTCAATAAATGTCATTCATGAATTAAATATACCAAATGAGACTTGAGTTCTTTAATAAAATGTTTTAAAGGTTTAAAGTAGAGTACAATGTTATTTGAAATCCCCCCAAAATTAAACATAATTAAAAATAAAAAGGGATATCTCTTGATTGCAGGTTGTAACATGTAGTTTTTAGTTCATTGATTGCAAAATTGTTTGGTAATACACACAATATTCACTTTTTATAGCCTGTCTTGTAGAGTTCCCTTGTGTCAAAATCTGGATTTAATACCTTTATTGCTGCATTTCAGTTAATATGTTTATGTGGTGCAGATTCACATGCACAACTAAATGTATGTTAGATCAAAATAACCTAAACTAATTACCACACAGCAAACCAAGGGATGGTTGTATTCCAGCACAGGATTACTGGATTGTTTCTCACAATTTGCGCCTTACATGTTCTCAAAAACTTGTTCTGCATTCAGGAATCTGCACTTCCAGATCTTCTCACGACCATGTACACGCAAAACTTTGTATTTCATTCAGGCTATTTCCATAGTGAATGTAGCAAACAGAAGGGACGTCTCCTGACAGCCCAGTAGTGGTTTAGCCATCACAGACCTATACCTCACTGGCAGTGTTCATGTGTGGGTCTTTCTGTCTGTCTCTTGGAAGCTGGTAAAATGCTGCGGATAAAGGTCAAATAAAGTGTGTGGGTCTTCCCCATACGTATGTATCTCATAGGCATAACGTGTGCATCTGTATGTGTGTATGTTTGTTTTCTCATGTGTCCCTGTGTGCGTGCTTGTTACCGTCTGCAATCTGTACGTTTGTCTGCTATTGCCGGCTGGCTTTTATGAGAGCATATGGGAAAGCACTCAATTCCTGAATTCCCTTAACACAGCTACGCACACACACACACACACACACACACACACACACACACACACACATAAAAACACACTGCTGATTGACAAAGAAGGGAAAACCCCTGATTAGCTGTCAGAAGTGGGCAATCTGTGTGTGATATTGCAATAGTACTCATACTTTGTCCTTTTCTGGCAATTGTTGTTTATAGGTGCGTCAAACCTGAATGCTCCATTCTCCCGCACATCCTCCGTACCTTTTTTTAGCAATAACCAGCAGATAGTGGGTCTTATTGTCTAGCTTGTATTATCATTTACTTTGTGCTTCTGTCCCTGGTTTAGTTCAGTTTCTCTGTACTTTCCCCACAGCATGCACCCCCCTCCACAAATCTCCTGACTGGATTTACTGGCCAGAGGAGAGGAAAATGTATGAATCAGTCCAAGGTTGCTCACTCCCAGGCAGAGTGAAAGCCAGAGAGCAGGGGAACAAGGGGAGAAAGAGGGGAAAAAAAGATGAAGAAAGAGTGAGAAAACGGAGAAAGGCCAAGATGGAGAAATACTGAAAAAACGAGAGACGGAGGACGGGGACCTCTTTGCTGCTATAAATGATGATGTCAGCATTCAGCAGTCGTGGTGACTGCTTGTTTAGTTTTTCGTATAGCGGACGCCTGGGTGTGCCGTCGCTGCCAAATGTGTGTGTGAGTTTTTACATGCATTTAGGGGATATGACCATTTGGCTGCACAGGTCATAAATCCTTTGATGAAGGAGTTTGGTCACACTCACAACCCCCTGTCTCCTTCTCTCTTTGTATTTCACGCACACATTCTCTCTCTCTCTCTCTCTCACTCACTCACTCACTCACACACACACACACACACACACACACACACACACACACACACACACACTCTGGGTTGGGCAGGGCAGTCCCGTGGTTAGCTATCCAGATGGTTTTAAGGTTAGTTAGAGACTACGCTCAAAGGTGCTGTTTGCAACCAAAATAGTGTGTGTGTGTGTGTGTGTGTGTATGTGCATGTTTAGTGTGTGTTTATAGAAACTCACTCACCCTGTACTATTTTTGGCCTTTCTTTAAATACAAATTTTACAGACGATAAAACATTCACACACACATGCAAATGCACCCTCGGTAAAGAAATGTAATTTTGTAACAAAAAGACTTATAATCACATCGTGTGTGTGTGTGTGTATGCGTGTGTGAGTGAGAGTGCTGGCATGTGTCAGACTGTCTTTGAGGTTCCCTTATTCATAAATAGTTGGATGTCTGGATATCATATGTTGTGTGTAGATTTACAAGTACAAGAGATTTCTACATTGGAACGCGGTTTCTCTCTCTCTCTCTGTATGTGTGTGTTTCTCATTTGTTGCTCGCCCCCCTTTTTTCTTTTTTACCCTACACAACTGTAATCAAAACCACAGACTCGAGGACTCTGTACGACTTTCCCATTCGTCTTTCTTGCCATTTTCTTCCCTTTTTTTTCTCCTGCTGTTAAATTTAATATGTGAGCGTTTACCCCTGATTTCCCCTGAGTTCTTTCATCTGCTTTCTTTTTTGTCTCTTTTAATCTAGTTTCTGTTTATTTTTTTGTTGATGCTGCAAAATCTTAAAATAATAGGTTTACATATGAAGTAGTACATTGATCAGCTCACAATAATTATAATGCAGCATTGACTTTCTTTTAAAATTTTTGGTCTAATACATAACGTCAGTGCAAATACTGTACATGACCATTTTTACTCTTTAGCCAAATTCCTCACCCATGGAACAGTCAGCCCTTTTCTTTCTCTCCCTCACATGTACAACCAGTGTGTTTCTCTTTTGCCTCCTGCAGGAGAAGGAGAAGAAGTACATGCTGCAGGTGGACAACCTGAAGCTGCGCGATGTGGAGAAAGGCTTCATGTCCAGCAAGCATATCTTTGCCCTCTTCAACACCGAACAGAGGTGTTATTACACATCAAGATGCATACACACCGCAGATATACAGTTAAAATTAAATCTCTGATGTCCATTCTTTGTTCAGAGTGCAAAATGTTATATGCAAACACACACAATGTGCAACAAACACAATTAACTTTAAACCATTAGCCTTAGCTTAGCCCCATTATTCATGTGATTTTTGTGTAAAATTTCAAGAGCTCTCAAGTCAGAAAGTTTTAAACCTTAAAAAATAATAGCACACTATAAAAATATTCCATTACAAGTTAAAGTCCTAATTTAAAGGGGCTATATGTAGTTTTTCAATGAAATTAATTATTAATAAATGAAATTTTCATTGCCTTATTGTCAGTGGGCTCAAAACTCACTTAGAAATGAAGCACACGCCTGTTTTCTCTGTTGCTTGGATCAGCCACTATTCTGCTTTAAATGTGAGGACATCGGGTCGGATTCAGCCCTGTGCGCACTCCCAAGCCTCTCAGGCTACAGCAACAACACTAGCTCACGAAATGCAGTCCACTAACACCATAAAACAACCAGCTCCCAGTAAAACACAGATTCCACGTAAGGATACAAAACAACAATAAAGGATTATGTGCTGAAGCTCATCAGACCAAACCAGTTCAGATAATGTCGAATAAAAACACAGTGAACTTCAGAAAGGCTGAAGAAACACAGAGAGAGTCACGTTAGTTGCTAACGTTATCCAGTGCAAAGTTGTGTAGCTTTCCACATTACTTCACCAACTTTATAAGTCCAGCTCAATAACCGTTTCGTTATCATCCAATACATTTAAGCTGTGCTGACATTGCTGAGCCTCCGGTGATAATAAGTACACAGATAGTAAATATAGGTACTGAAAAGCAGCAGGCACCTAACAATGTAGCATGTCGGCTAAATGCAGTAAATGTAATGTTATCATGCAACAAGCATCTTCGTTCAAACTGAAAATATTACTGTAACAGGGCAGTGGGAGTTTACCCGAGTTTCCAAAATGTTGTAGATGTTTCCCTGTCTCTCTATAGCCGCTCTCACACTGCTTTTTTTCCCGGGAGTATTGTGTCAATATCCGGCTGGCTGCGCTGTATGAAAGGTAACTTACTGAGCCGGTGTTGAGCTTCTTCTGAGACGGGAACGTTGAAGTAACAGAGCCTGAACATGTCTGGAGAAAAGCCACAGCCTGCATGCTGGTGTTTCTGCGTTTATTGCAGGATTTCTGTATGAAAGTGGTTGTGTTTTGGATTATGCTCGCTCATGAGTTCAAGTGAGCACGCGTACGAGCACACACCTGGTTGCAATCTTAAAACCGCACCGCTAGTGGCTGCTGAAAACTCCATAATGACCCTTTAAAGATTTACTTAAGTAAAAGTACAGGCGTATTGGCAACAAAATGTACTTAAAGTATTAAAAGTACTTATGATAGAACTTAATATGCAGATTTGCCCCTGTCAGTGTTATATTGGTGGTTCATTGTTTTGAGCATTAAAACGCAAGAAGGACTTGAGCGGTGTAGATTGCTGAGGTAAACAAATTTTACAGCTTAATATACTTTTGTGTAGTTTCATTCTGTAACATGATCGTATGTTTTGAATGTCACATCTCAAACTGTATGAAATAAATGGAGGCAAATATTGTACTTTTTACTCCACTAAATTTATGTTCTTTGTACGTCTACTCCACCACATCTTGGAGGCAAATATTGCACTTTTTACTCCACTACAAGATGTGGTGGAGTAGACGTACAAAGAAGCACAAAAATGTAACCACTCAAGTTGATTACAAGTACCTTAAAACTGTACTATAGTATGTAATATGTAAGGATATATACTTGCTCAGGTGACACTTTTTGGGTATAAAAAAATAATATATAAAAACATTAAGAAGATAATTCAGCGTTTTTTTTTATCTCATTGTGTGACAGGAATGTGTATAAGGACTACCGTCAGCTGGAGTTGGCCTGTGAGAGTCAGGAAGATATTGATGCTTGGAAGGCCTCCTTCCTCAGAGCGGGAGTTTATCCTGAGCGGGTCACAGTAAGTATTTGTATTTTTTGTATACAAGCTAAGGTTAGGAAATGTATATAGCAAGTTGATATTTCTCCTGTAATGATTAGATCGATTGCAGCCATATGCAATGTGAAACTAGATGCAAAACACAACACACTTTTACGGTAACCAAAACAAAAAGTAAAGCAAATTATTGTTTATTTATTTGTTTTGTTTTACATGAGTTGTCTACTAGGCTGTTGTTGTGATGTGTATTTGGAGTCTATTTTAATGTTGTCAAGTCTCTCATGTGACACCGGATCTGTCCTCTTTTAATGTCTGTTTTCTTCATCGCTTCATTGCCCTTATAGGACAAGGAAGGAAAGGTATGTTACTTTGGTCTGCATCCTTCATCATTTCTGTGTTGTTAATGTAACGTTTTGCCCTAAAACAATTATTTGGGAAGACTTTATATTTATTTGTTGGCCATCACATTTGACATTATCTTTGATGATTAATGCTTGACCATCTTACATTACTGACTGACAGTAATCAAAAGATCTTTAGTGACCAGCAGAACCACAAATTATTTTTTTCTTTGCATAATCAATGTTTATGTAATATTTTTATCCAACTACTTCTAAAAACATAAATGATGTTATTAAAATATAAAAGTACATTGCACATAGCATACATAGCAAACAAAACCCAATTAGAAATGAAAAAAATTAGAAAGTTTTTTTGCTGTTCCCTGTTACAAAGCAGTGTGAACTATTCTCACTCTTTATGTAGTTTAAAAGTGTGGGACAATTCTTTTATCTTGTATTTTGTATGTACTGTTTGCTGCTGAAGCTAGACGGAAGTTAAACTCCGTGTCCTCTGTCCGCCCTCCTTCATTTGTCTCCACAGAGTGACGGCGGTGATGAAAATGGCTCCGACAACTTAATGCACAGCATGGACCCACAGCTGGAGCGGCAGGTGGAGACCATTCGTAACCTGGTTGACTCCTACATGGCCATCGTCAACAAGACCGTCCGTGACTTAATGCCCAAGACCATCATGCACCTCATGATTAACAATGTGAGTCACTGGTGCGGGTGACTTGTTAAATGCAGGTGTTCTTGTTAAATGTGACACGTAAAGACGACGAAACCAAAATAATGTTATGGCTATTTTTCTGAATTATATATGTTGAAAAAAAACGAGAAACTTTACACATAGCATCTCTCTCTCTGTTTGTCCAGACTAAGGAGTTCATCAATGCAGAGCTGCTGGCCCACCTGTACTCGTGTGGTGACCAGAACTCTCTGATGGAGGAGTCTCAGGAGCAGGCCCAGCACCGTGACGAGATGCTGCGGATGTACCACGCCCTGCGGGAGGCCCTCAGCATCATCGGTGACATCAGCACAACCACCATAAGCACCACCATGCCGCCTCCCGTGGATGACTCCTGGCTGCAGGTGCAGCGGGGGAGCCCCGTAGGAAGGTAAGGCCCGATGAGTATAGAGCAGAATGTTTTAACCATTATAGTAACTTTTTTTGTGGTTCAATACTAATAATTATTAATATCAGGTAAAATATGAGCATAATCAGAGTTATTTTATTTTTGTTAATCCAGTGGTTCAGATTGGTCAGTATTTTCTCTTTTTTCATCAAGGGGGGCGGAGCCTACCTCAACGTGCATTGGGAAACCACTTCTACCGCTTTAGGCTCCATGCTTCACTGTACTGAGCACCCAGTTCAAAACCTTCCATATATCCCAGTGTTCAGCAGCTCATGGGGAACAGCAGTTGTGCTGAATATTTGATAAGATTTGACAAATATCGCGGGGGATTTTTATGCTACTTCAATTTTAATTTTAAATTTGTCAGGTATCTCCTAAACTGTCAAAGGCATTTTGCCCCAAATCCCTGTTTACGTTTGACTCTTGGTTGATGGCTGATGGCTGACAAACAGACTTTGGGGATAGCACGGGGGCCTCCTAATTGGTGGAGGAGTCACATTTGTCAGATCTCTTGATTAGATTAATGGATTGATGAATTGAAGGATTCATGGATTGAGGTTTTATTTAGCAATTTTTGTGGTGCAAAGAAATTGGACAGAAAAGGGGGTTGTATGTTGGGGTGATTGAGGGAATAATCAAGTGATCTGGGCTTATAGTTGAGAAAGGGAAGAATGCTGAGACAGTAGAGAAACCTGCAAACAACTACACTATGATTATTCCACTAGAGTGTGCATTTTCTCTGCTCTTCTTCTCTCTTCTCCTCCAGGTCTCCAGCCACCAGTCCAACTCCAAACCGCAGGGCTCCACCGGGACCTCCGGCCCGCCCAGGCTCTCGTGGGCCTCCACCTGGGCCTCCTCCTGCTGGAGGACCCCCTGTCCCGTCTCGCCCGGGCGCTTCTCCAGACCCTTACAGTGGGCCACCACCCACTGTGCCCTCCCGGCCTAACCGTGCACCCCCAAGTGTGCCCAGGTGAGTGAAAATATGAGAGGTCTTTCAAACAAACAGCTCTCTTTCACACCAACGTATTTTACAGTGTGTTTCAGTTGGTCTTACGAGGACATTAACATCCAAACCACAGCTAATAATATTATGACAAGCTATCCAACCTGAAGTGTGGATACTCTCTGTTACTAAGGGGGATGTGAAGACACCTGGATGAGGGGATAAAGGAGGTAATGAAAGTGGAGAGTACTGGTTGTGATAGAGGATAGAAGACAAATAGATTGATAGAGATCCCTAAATAGATGGATAGACCTTAATATAACTCATGATCAATGGATTATTTTCCTCCTTTTCTCTTGGTTTGGGCAAACATTTGATTTACTTCCTTTCAACTAGACTTGTTGGTACCTTTCTGCCACCACTTGGAACTTTCAACACACTGTCAGGCATCACCAGTGATTGCTAACACTCCACTATTCATCGCTTACACCCACCTCACCGCTGTCCTCATCTGACTAATTGAGATGTTTGCGCTTTAAAGCAAGTCAGTGACTGGAATGGGCGTTAGAGGGGACTGAAAAAAGTGTGGGTTTTCTTTTCAGTTCTCCGTTAACTGTATCTGGCTTGTGCTTGCCTGTGTTTGTGAGCTAGCTAACTTTCTTTTATCCTGGACCTGTTCACTTTCAGAGTAGCGGCTTGCCTCTTTTACAGTAGGAGACACTAACGTTGCTGAGCGAAGCTCTCACTGGCACATGCAGCCTCAAAATCAGATGGGGGAGTATGTCAAAATCCTCACAAAACCCTGACTCGAAATCCTCAGTAGTGAACTTAGATGTTTCCATCCCGTATTCTGGTCTGTGCTAAGTGAGAGCTGAGCACATGTGACATTGGTCATTTCCTGCTCTGTAACTGTTTGCACTCCTGTTCTCTTTTCCTCCTCTACACCCCTCTTTTCCTCACCACACCTCTGTCCCACACATGACTATTGTTCCTTCTACAGAATCACTATCACTGACCAATGAGGAACGTTTCTGGTACGTTGGGTACTGTCCGCCATCATCATCATCATCATCACCTTTCTCTTCCTCTCAGAAGGCTTTCACTGCATGCCATTTTCTTTTTTCTCACTTTTCTTTTCTCTTCTCAGAGCGCTGCATGGGCAAACACACACCCAGCTCAGAGGGTGTGTGTGTTTGCATCAGTGTTTGAGCCTTTGGAGTTGATGCTGATTTTTATTTATTGAAGGGGGTATCAGTATGTCAGAATGTGTCAACCGGCATTTTCTCAGATTTCAGCAGCAACGGGTTAGACAGGATTCAACTCAAATGACCAAAGATCGTAGTTGTTTTTTTGTCTCAATGTTGTATGTGATGTATGTAGGCCATGACATCCCACCCATCCTTAACTTGTCTGTGTGTCTGATGATGTACTTCAGAGTCATGATATCTGTCAATATCACTGTACAGTATGGAATTTAGCTCTTGTGTCGGTCCCAAACTTTTTTCGAGGAAAATATCAGATAGTTTTACCTTTTCTAAAAACAATTTAAATGAAACTATCCGAGAGTTACATCTGCACAGTGAATATGTAGCTGCTGCCAGCAACTAACAGGCTTAGCTTAGAATCAAGACTAGAATCCACAGGAAGCAGCTAGCCTTGCTCTGTCAAATGATATATTTACAAGGGATTGTTCACTGCACTATTTCTTGACTGGGGACAGTAACTTTCTGGAGTCCTGTCCTCAAAGTTTGGCAACCAGCGGAGACTCTGCTTATGGCCTAGACTGTTTCTGGTCTTTATGCTAAGCTAAGCGGCTGCTGATAGTAGTTTCGTCTGTCCCATACATACATTAGAGTGTGGTATCAATCTTCTCATCTAACTCTCCAAGAAAGCGAATAAACATATTTCCCAAATGCTTACTTGGTAATGATCTTATGTCCTGCCTATGCTGGGAGCTACTGTGTTGGAGGGTATTTTAAACGTATGCTAACGTATGTAAATATCCACACCTAAAATCTTCAACAATAGCCTGTTTGCCCATTTTAATGCCTTTCAGGCAGAGATTACAATGACAGAGCTTAATAAATCTGAATAAGTGCATGCTACTGTATTTAGACAACACTTGGATATGGAGTAATACTGCCTGCATTTGGCCTCAACTGCAAACATACATTACCTGCATTGTGGCCATGTTAACTGAGCCTGATACCTTGTTGATGTTGTTTGTGTTTTCGTGTTTCCTTCCATGTGTTACCTCATGGTATAAGTTGTTGTCTGTCAGAGTGAAGGTAGTGTATTTCTGTGTACGTGCATGATTATACACATGGGGAGCCCTAAAATAACAACGTAATGGAAGTATAAACCCTAAATTGAAGTTTACTTGAACACCGCAAACACCTAGAAAACACTAATACAACCTGTTCCCGTCCTCTCTTCTTTCTATGCGTTCCTGTGTGTTTGTGTGCTTGGCAGTCGGAGACCCCCACCTTCTCCAACCCACTAGACCTCTGAGCTCCTCCCTCCCTCCTTCGTCCATCCGTCCCACCTCTGGATGAGAGGCCATGGACAACAGTGCCACCTTCCTGTCGTTTTCTGCCACACCCGACCTGAGCCGGCTCCCTTACAACAAGCCATGTCTCTCTCTCTCTCTCTCTCTCTCCCAGCCCCCCCACCCCCCAACACCCTCCACCCCTCTGTTTCATACAGACATGCAGAATACTTGAAACACACCTGCATGACTGACATACGAACATGCTGCACCCTCAGAATTCCAATGAACTATGTAGAGAATATCAAATAATTGATAAGAAACACGTTTGTGAGTGTATGCGCACCCGCATGCATGCACACCTGCTTACATAAATACAGCACACACACATATATATATATATATATATATACAAGCAAATACATACAGAATATTTGCTTTCAAAGATGGGATGACAAATTTAGCATGACTTTTTGCCTGAGTATACTCTAGCCTTTCTAAGGGGTATTCTGGCTGCTGATTGACTTAATTTTTCTCTTACTAAGATTTGCTTTATCTTGTGTTTATTTTTGACTTATTTTCTGTTTTTATATAAACTTAAAATATAAGTTTTGTGCCACTAACTCACCTTTTGTTGCCTGTCATGCTCTGAGAAACATTTTTAACCAGATGTCTTTAAAAAATGGTAGCTACTTTAGGATAAAACAGGACAGTGAACAGCAAAACAATATCAGAACATCTATAACAAACTGTCTGTGTATGTTCTGTGAGCATATTTTGGTGATAATACATGTTTTTCTTTTTTTTACAACATATTTATTAAGTTGCTGGATCCCAGAGATTTTGTTTTGAAATTAGTTTCTTTTTATAAAAATGTTACTGAAGCTCTGATCTCTGTGAAGTCATGTGGGAAAATGCTTCTTTCCCTCACAGCCTTTCAGGCTCTGAGGTGAAATCCGATGTATGTTCTATGTATGTATATTCTCTTTCACTTCACCCTGCCATGTAAGGCCTTCTCTTATTTTTTCTCTGTTTCTACTCTTTTCACTGAACAGCCGGCCAAACAAGATCGCCTTCCTACCCCCCCCCCCCCCCCTACTTCCTCTCCTCTAAAAAAACTCATCACATCACTCAGCTCACATGAGGGAGGAGGGCTTTAATGAAATAAGGGGGAGAGGATCACTTACACACTCCTCACCCTCAGTTACTTATACATGCAGGGGCTACTGCTATACATCCTTTCTTTCCCTCATCATCCTCCTCGTCCTCCCCTTGCACTAGGACAGGAGGAGCAATCGAGGGACCTTATGCCTGTTGTAGACTCCAAATAGTCCACATAACTGTAAAATCACACATGTATGTGTATCACAACCACCTCTTGAAAACGCTGTGCTTCCACAGATCCTATGCAACAAAGAAAATAGTTTCCCAATCTTTTTTTGGCTTAAAGAGGCGCCTCCCATCGCACCTTTCCCACTCTCCTCCTCTCCTCTTCAAAAACTTTTAACTACTGTTATCTTATCAAGGCGGGATCTAAATAGAAAGTGTAGTACATGCAGGACCTTCTGGTCCTTCTGCACACAACTCCATGACACTAATCATACAAAAATCGGTGTACATTTTAAACTGAGAGGAAGGAAATATGTGACCTGGATTGCACCCTGTGACTGTTAATAATTTCCATATACATGTTTTTTAATGAGAGGGATTGAGATCCCTAACAGGAAAGGTTTTAAATATTTGGAGTGTGTTTCTAAGTCAGCTTCGATCACGTTATGCATCACATAGTCTGATATACTGATGGGAAAACTTTCAGCGTTTTATTCAGGTCTGCCATTCATTCATTCATTCCGTTTTTCTTTTCTTCCTTCTCTCAGTGGTCATGGGGGTGAGTGAGAACATGAAAACAACTACAGTCTATGCATAAAACTGTCAAACGCTCCTCCTATTTCACCCTCACGTCGCTGTCTGAGAGCCTGTGAGTTGAACCCATCTTTTCACAACCTGTTTTGCCACAGAACTCTGCTGTCAGTGTGATGTGTTGTATTTTGCCCCCGATCAAAAACAACCAACCCACCAGCCACAAAAACCCATATCTGTACCTCAACTGATGTCATTATACACTTCAGTGACCCCTTGTGCATCTTAGTACTCCTCAACTTCAACATAAACCCAACAAAGAATTATTCTACTTATTATTAAACAGTAAATACTTTATTATCGACATATCTTAATGTGTTCTTATGTATATGTGTGGTGCATCTTATGGGACTTGTACTTCCACTGTCTAGAGATTTTAGTCTGCAATGTATGAAATTGCTGGGTATTTAAATTATTATGAATAAACAAGAATATGTATAAGGAAATAATATTTGAAAAACTTATTAAAATGTGTAATGCAGTGATGTATATGGACGTTGGCAGGTTGTTTGACTTTAGCTTGTACCAGAGAGGGTTTTTTTTGTTGTTGTTTTTCTCACCTCTCAGAGCAGGGAGGGACAGTGTGAATGTGTGAAGTCCTGCAGCAACAAGGTCCTGCATCTTGTTCAATCTGCTGTGGATGAATCAATGACTTTACCCCGCAGGACTGCTGCGCTTTGTCAACACATTAAAAACCTGAGTGTACTGAATGAAAGTTTCCTCTTTGTCTCCTTGTCTCTTTGTTGTGGTAAACAACACTACAGAACAGCAACAGTACAGGATACAATGAACAGCAGAACTTTTACATGGAGTGCAATATATATAATATATTAATATTGTCATACAAACCAAGCAGTTTGTATATGTCAGCTTGGGCTTTAGGACATGTGAAGGGCAATATCACTATTTTCTGACATTAGATCAAACAATAAAATCAAGTTTGGTACACACTCAAACGTTTGGTATTCAATTGTGATGATGAGTGGGAAACATTTTGACATGTCACAGTAAAAAAAAAGAAAAAAAGAAGCAAAGGTGTAAATACGGAAATTGCTGATTATGTTATTAGTAATACTTTTCCTACTATGACAAGTCAAACTGTCTGCTGCATCTTTACTGCCAAAGTCATTGCGTGCGTATCACAGCAGGACAGTCTGTTGTATCAAAATGATAAAGAAATTCCGACAACGTGTTTAAGTTGCTCAATCAGTTTTATTCAGAAGGGGAGAAAATATTACTCAAGGAAGAAAAAAAATCTGAAAGCTTCTGTCAGAAGCAGCCCTCGAATGAATCAGTTGAATTATCCTTCATTTCCAACAGTCACTTCTATTTTACACTGAAACTGATTAGTTGAGATACTAACTTATTCCAAATAAATAGAATATTTTCTCCTTTTTTAGTCAATCTTTGTATTAAATCACAGCCAGTCAGTAACCGCCAACAACCCTACTCTGTACTATCAGACATACACACAGCCCACGCTGCCAGTAAACATGGCAGAGCAGCTTTAACTCCCCACACACCAGGCATAATGAATATACAATATGTTACACAGTTACAGTATATACATCACCTCTTTTACAGTAAAGACAATAAATGCTTTCTCATTGCTATTTCAATCACATAACATATTTAACAGTGAATTAGAAAGTGTGGGAAGGCATTTTATCCACATTGTTCTGTTAATTCGCAAGCCCCGAAACAACATTAAATGATTTTACTGTATATTCACCTCTTGACCACTCCCAAAAACAAAATGAAGGAAAACAAAAACAAAATCATACTTTGTGACACGTTTCAAAGAAAAACAAAAGTGACAGACTGCTACGAGCAAAGCAAGGGACTTTACCATCAAGAATGACAACAACCCCAGCACTTACTAACAAAGTGCTGTGATTTAGGGTAGATGCAGTGCTGTTAACACCAAGTACACATGGCCTCTATATACCTTATATTTTAATTACATGTTGCTTAAAATACCAGAATTTGCACCAATGTTTTCTGTCCTGTTGCTTTTAGTGATAAATATGAAGAGTACAATTTAATAATTGTCTCCAAATGTGTCCTTTACCTTCAGAGGGGTTGTTAAAATACTAAGACATCCGAATAAGAGGGAAAAATTACCTCCAAAAGACGTCTGATGTATGACTTGCAGTGAGACCCTCATGTCCTTGCATATTAAAATCATGGAACGACTCTCACAAAACAGAGGCCTGTGCCATGATATAATCTGAAATGGGGGGGGAATATGAGCTGTGATAGTGCCGCTCTTGGTTGTTAGTTTGTTGTAAAGGGGAAGAGCTCAACATGTCAATCAATCCATCCTCCAAGCCACATTCGTGAATATGAGCGTCTCTCTGTTAAAGCTAGACACCTGTGATGTCTTTAATAAAAAACTATGAATCCTATTGTCTTGTGTTTAATGCCCCAAGGAGATTTACTTGTGTTTTTAGCCGATACAAGAGTTACACAATATGAACACAACAGATTTGCCTTGTTTTGTTCTCCAGTTTTGAGAAGAGTTGCGAATTTTCTCAAATTCTGATTGGTCCCACACTTTCGGGATTAACATCACTACAACTTCTTGAAGTAAGCGATCTCATTAATTTCACCTTCTACTCATATTTACACACCTTCCTCCTTTATCATGAGTGCAACACTGCACGCGCGCGCACGCGCACGCACACACACACACACACACACACACACACACACACACCCCCCTTACACACTTTCAATTAAATTAATCTGCTTCTATTGGAATCCTCAGCTTAACAGTGTGGCTTCATAGGATTCCCCTTTTTCCTCCACAGAAATTATAAAGAGGCTCTACAGTACAAACGTCACACTGTCCAACCAGCCGGAGAGGACAGAGCCTAACAAGGAGCTTTGTACAGTTTTAGTGCAATCATACTTATATAATCTGATATAACTCTACAAAAAAGTACAACAGATGGACAAAACTTCAGCTTTGGATTACACACACATGTCACATACACTCAGTCCAGTTGTAAAGGATGTGCATTAATTCATTGTTGATATGTAGGAAAAGCAAACGTAACAGAAAGGTACGGGCTCTGATTCATAGTGTCAATTAGTCTAGAAAAGACCCCATGAAATAGAGCAGCTCAGTTATGGATGAGCAGCTCTAATGAGGGGGAAATCCATTTTCAAGACTTGAGTGATGAGTGTGGTCTGCGTTTGTGATGAGGCCAGTCAAATGCCCCAGAGCACCTGATTAGAGAATATTTGTAGAAGATAGATGAGTCAAGATTGCAGAAATAGAGATTTTAACACCATACTTTCTGTAACTTCCTCCAGTCACTGTACCTTAATAGGCTACCTATCAAGCTATACAGAAAACAACAATGTGGCCCAGCACAGGCCCCGAGCTCCAAAACTCATCTGAATGAAACTCTGGAAGATTTCTCCACTGTTTCAGAAACTGAGAAAATATTGCCTTAATAACTGACTAAAATTTGCTTTTTCTTCATGGGGACTTTAAATTGCATCTATCTCCTCGATGACTTAGAAACCACATTTTTGTAACTGGTGATATCTCTCAGTCTAACAGGATGTTTGACAACATAACAAAATAAAGGTTTCAGATATATTAACCTTGTGCACTGTACAAACATACAACTTTTTTTCAGTGTTTGGAGGCAAAAGACAATGTAGAGAAAAGGTAGTTTTAGGAACAGTACTAATCTGTGACACCTGCCTGCAACTTTCTGCACCCAATCATGTAACTAGCTGAGCTCTTGACTTTGAAACAGAACAGCGCTTACACTTCAAAAGCTATTATGTGCACTAACTTTCTTTATTGACTTCAGCTTAAATCTCATTCTGCATCTCTTCCATTCACCATTATCAGTTCCCCTACTTACACAAACACACAGGTAAATATTCGGGTTATTACATTCCAACGTGAAGGTCTTTTTTTTGGCATTTGTACAGTGAATTTTGCTGTAAAATAAAGTTGCACGCAAACAGGCTGCTCATTTGTGACAGCTCTTTAAGTACTGTATCAGCGAGGGGAGAGAATATACGACCCCTTTATTGCACTTGTGTAAGACGGGTGGCAAGAGGAAGGATGGGATTTAAAAACTGTGGGAAGGAGACTAATCAGATTGTGTTAAGAAATACTGATTATCTGTTCTCTGGGAATAGCATTATAGACAAGAAAAACAACAAATAGAAAATACTCTCTTTTTAACCTTGCACATTTTAGTGCCGATGCACAGAACAGGGAGGGGGCATTTTAATGTAAATGAGTCAAAGACATTCACACATCTGTGACCAGTTTTGCAGGGTATCACATTACTTGAGAAGTGTTTGTGAATATGATAAACAAGCTACAGACATGGTAAACTGTGGTATTTAATATTCCCCAGATTTCAAGACATATCCAATATCTCTCTCTCACACACACACACACACGCCAGCTTCTGTCACACCTACACCTCACACCACCAGGATCTTGACTTCGTCCTGCTCGTCAGGCCGGTAGAAGAAGGGGATGCAGGGGTTCTCTCCGAGGAAGTGTGGTGATCTCAGTGCTCCCTGGGGGTTCTGGATCTCATGGAGCAGCTGCATGATCTGCTGGGCGGTGCCGTCCTCTTTGGGCCCCAGGGACATTGCGTCAGTCTGGGCTGACCCGCTTGTAAGTGTCTGGGACGAGGGGGCTTCCAGGCCTGTGGTGGCTTCTGACAGAGGGACGACCTCCATGGCTTCTGCAGCAGAGAAGGGAGAGCAGTATGGTGAAGTGCTACTGAATATAAAAAAAATACTAAACGAAAGACAGCTATTCTTAAAAACGAGAGCGTGTACTATTTTTATTCTCAAAACAATGAACAGTTTTACATGGAGTGCAATATTCTGATGTTGACTTTAGTCTAAATAAGACATTCAGATGAAGCTGTTTTTATGAGCTATTCTACTTAGTATGTTGACTGATAATAGATGCGGACATCATTTTGTGCCACAACATCCAGTATTTTACCTCAAACCCCATCTTTCTGTATTATTGTTACTGTGGTATTTTCTATTGCTATCGTCCTGCATATTTTGAAAAAGCACAGTGGTTCTTGTAGCAGCAGACTTTGAATCAGGATTTGTCAACTGTTGTATGTGCTGTATTAAGTTTCAGGAAAAGTTGTACACATGTCAAAAATGACTTCCAATAACACCTCTATAGCGGTAACATATGCTTATCTGAATATTCTTATGGTGCCTTCAGGCTGGATTTCGCTCCCCAATCCATTTCTATTGACAACAGAGTAAGACACACACACTTCTTTTTGCGAATTGATGTGTCTTATATGCTTTGACTAGAGTTTAATCTTATTAAACTTTCACAAGTGAAATCACGAGGTCCAGTCTGTTTGACAGAAGGGGTGGGATTGACCTCTTATTTATTTAATATTGATTGTTTATATTGTTGTTTTACATCTACCTGATGAAATAATATAGGCAGCAGAGAAGGAACGATGCTGCTTGGCTGCAGTTAGTGCAAAGACAGAGACAGAGATTAATCACACTTCAGTATTACGATAAGAAGCTGTATAATTAAATACTTGGTGCAATGCTGTTGGCCCACTAGCCATGCTAGCTCCTGCAGTCTATGGTTACAACCCTACCTGCGCTATTCCTGTCTTGTCTGCTTTTGGTCACAACAAGCGAGTAAATTTCACCATGTGTAATCCAGTGTGACTGCACCTTTACTCTGACTATGACACTATCCTGACTGAGGTAAATACCTCAACCTGTTTAGTACATGTGGGTCGAGAGAAGACACACTTGACCCTCCAAACATCCTCTGATTACAAGACCAGTGTAATTGTTTTTGCCTTGATTTATGATGTAGCAAGGACAGTACTACTGTTTGCGCCTACCTGCTCCACTGACAGCATTATGCTCTGTGTGTGCGTGTGCTTGGTGCTCTGGGTGAATGTGATCCTCCCCAACAGGAAGCAGGTCGGGGTTCACTGTGCTTGCGCCGGCTACAGCTTTGGTGTAGCGGCTGTACCAGTCATTCCTCTCAGCCACCAGCCTCATCACCAGATCCTGCAGCTCTGCAAGCTTCGCCTGATGGACAGTGAAGAAACAAAGACAAGGGCACATATAGAAGAAATGTCAGTAGGGAGGAGAACGCAAAACTGCAGTAGCATCTATTAGACATGATTGCTGATGAGATCATTCTATTTTGTGAAGATCAGTGTTTGCTTGAGAAGTGTTGGTCATTGTGTGGGAGCTTTCCAAAAGACAAGCAGCATAGATACTCTTTTTCAAATTGAATATTGGAAATTGAGAAGAAGATTCATAATTTCTTTTTCCAAGTTAAAATTTAGGATTGATGAAAATAATAATAAATACAAAAACATTGTGACATCCATTAGGATCAGTTTTCCTGTGCAGACAAACATCTTATGCAAATACACTGGACTGCTTTATTGGTTATTTTCAATACAAATGTTGCCATACAGTACCTTCATCTCCTCCTTGTCCTGGGCCAGCATGCTGATGTATTGCTCCTTCTCCTGGTGTTTCTGTTTCATGATGGCCCGCTGACTCTGGTACAGGGCTATGTACTCCCCTGGATAGACATACAGAAGAAATAGTAATAGGAATTGGTATGCTGATCAACAGTTTTCCTATCTTTCTGACAACATATTAAGATATTACACTCAACCAAAACTCATTTGTAATAAAATAAATATTTACAACGAAAATGTCCTACTGTCTCACCTAGGGATAAAACGGTTACTGATTTAATGAGAAATCATGGTAACATTTCCGACAGTTATTAGAACCGTACACATTTTAATTACCATGATAATCGGGTTCGGTTCCCACACTTTGCTAAACTCACAGCAAATACTGTCCAGCTTTAACCAAAGTTATCGACAGTCTCCCAGAAGCAGGCGTGCATGCGCAGTATACAATGAGGGTTTGTTTGGGTCAATGACAGCACAGCGGAAGACAGTGCTTTTCTATAAGAGTACTGATGGAAAACTGCCTTATAGCGAATGCAGGGCAAGTTAACTTTTGGCTTTGGTTGTCTGACTTGTTAACAGCTTGTAAACTAAAGCTCTCAGTATTAGCCGCTCTTGTAAAAACACTACACGGTGTTCTGCTGCTGTGTGCGTGTGTCTGCAGACTCTATTTGCCCACTGCACATGATAACACGTTACGCAGTTTAGTCACCCAACCAACATATCTTGTTCATTAAAAATCCGGCAGCTGTCAAATTAGTTGTAAAAGTGTCCAAACAGAAGAAACGTCAGTTGTTGGCTCATTGCAGTTACTGTCTTCTAAAGACTCATTTGTATTCCTGTAATTGTGCATGGGGTCATTGCATTACTTATATAATGTAAAATAATATCAATCAATCAATCAATTTAATGATAATGCACACTCAGAAGGTACTGGCTGTTGTTATTTTAATGTTTATGCAAACAAAATGTTAATTTTATTTGTGGCTTTCAATATAAAACTTGTTGCAATGGTTTCAGTGTGTGTATCAGTACATTTGAATCTTTTTCAGCACATTTTAACAATACAGTGATAATACTGATAACCGGGATCATTTTGGTCACTATAATTGTGATATGAATTTTTTTTTTACTGTTTCATCTCTAGTCTCACCTATAGTGTCGGTCTCTCCAGACAGCTGGATGCAGCGGTGCTCCAACTCCTCCACCCTCTCCTTCAGGTCAGCTTTCTCTTGCATGAGGGAGGTGAAACGCTGCTGAAGCTTCTCCATGGCAACTTGCAGGGCCTGATGAACCTCCAACGGTACACCTCCTTCTGGGAAGAGGGTTGAACAGTTTATAGCCGGTTTACAAAATGCACCACATATACGTTTTGATCTATATGATCAGAATTCATTATAGAATCAGGGTTAACTATAGTCTAAAACGCATTGTCCTAGTCTTTGCCTTTTCATTGTAAAAACATTTGCACGCTTGCACCCAAACAAACCTCACTCACCTGAATGCTCGTGACTGTGTTCACAGTGACTATGTTGGCCCTGAGTGTGATCATGCTCGTGATGCTCATGATGGTCGTGATGATGGTCATGAACAGGTTTGTGGCTGTGGTGTTGGTGCTCAATGCTGGTGGCCACATCAGCCTTGTGCCTGGCTGCCATGTGGAGCCTGTGCTCCTTCTCCAGTAGCCTTCTGGCCTCGTCTCTCTCTGCCTCCAACTGAGCCAAAGCTCCTCGGATAAACTCCTCCTGCGGGGTGGGGGGTGGGGTGGGGGGGCAGAAGGTGGTGGTGAGGATGATGGAAGTGAGTCGATGAATAGGGTCAAATGAGGAAAATGCCAAACCTTTGTCTCATATTTAGTATTTAAATTTTTATCTTAAAAATAAGTCATTCACACTGGCATATGACTAGATGTTTTGTGTAAATGTCAATATCAAACATGCATGTAATAAAAAGGCAAAGCAAGGGTTAACGAGATATCATTAAAGAATATTTATAAAAGTAGTTTCTGGGGAAGAACACCCTGCTTACAATCTCCTTCTGGCTCTCAAAGTCTTCGGGGATAACTATGGTGGAAGACTTATTTGGGCTCTCTTGCAGCGACTGGCTTTCCACTCCATCACCTGAGTGACATAATGACAAATTAAAACTATTAATAATACAAATACATTTCATTTTCAATTTGTGAGTCGTCACAGACTGTAACACTCATTCTCAACAGATGGCACACATCACAATTACTACTGCTGATTTTCCTTGCCTGTAGGTGTCTCAGGTTAAACTGGAAGTGCTAGTCTAAAACTGCTGGTGCGGCAGCTCTGCTGTTAGAAGGTCTCACATTATTTGCATTAATTACACTGTCCTTGTTTCTTGCTACAGTTTTCAGTTTCAACGTTAAACTTCTTTCAAAATAAACAATGTGAAACAAAAAAAAAAAAATCTATTATGCTGTTGGAACAGGGGGTCAGGGTCTGAAACATGACACGTGTATGTAACATGACAATCACTCCACCTTACTTAACAATCACTGACAACCAGGTTTAACAACAGTACAGACAGACTACAAGAAACAAAAAGCACACAAGAACTTCAAGATCAGCTCCCAGTTAGTGCTCAATACAAAACCTACAGTACAACCCCCATCGAATGAGCCCTCAGTCATCTCAGTTCCAATCTCCAGAAGAGTCCATATCTTCCACTGGTGAGTTTGGTGTGAAACCCACCATAGATATTCCCAGAGCTGACTGGTGGGTGTGTGGTTGTGTGTGTGACGGATTGGGGGTGCCGATCGCCACAATACGCTAACCTTACTATGTGTGTCTTTCTGTTGTGCGTTTTCCCTGTCTGCCAAAATGGCAGATGGCCTGACCTTTTTACCCTCCGCTGCCAACAATTTACTGGCATTTGGCGGGTGCTAATTTCAGACCCTGCAAGTGGGTCACAACCACATTAAAGCCTGTAAAGGGAACTTGAGTCCTTCTTTTGGCACTGATTTTCAAACACACAAAGAAACACAATATAAAGCAGCTTGGACAATTAATAGACAAATCTTACCTTGGTCTCTGGATGACGGGGCAAAAGCTGAGCTGTTGAGCAGCTCCTTCACCTCAGCCTTCAGCTGCTCGTTGTCTCTGACCAACAGCTCCAAATTCTCCTGTAGGGGGAGAGTTATTTAAAATATTGTTGGGTGTTTAAGGGTGTCACAGAGATAAAGAATGGCCAGTAATAGAAGGTGAGGTTACACAGCATTTTATCAACATACTGTATAATGAACAGACTCCAATCACTTTAGTTATTACTTGATGAAGAACGTACATGATATTAGCTGCACTCCATTAAAATATCACAACAGACTGGACTGTGATATGTGCAATAACTTTTGAACATATCATCAATAGTCATGTGATCAAAGTCTTTTTCCTGAAATGCACACCTGCGCTTGTTTGAGCTGATTGTGACTCATCTCCAGTTGCACGCGGCCCTGGCTTTCATCGTGCTGCAGCCGGTCCATGAGCTGGAGCTGCTGCAGATACTGGTGGTGGAGCTGTTCCCTCTCTGAGGCCAGGGTCTGGTAGCCAGCACAGTATTGCTGCAGGTGGGCCACTACCTGGTCCCTCTGCTCCATCAGACCCTGAGTCTCCGTACTTTTCAGTTCCAGCTGGAGCCAAGGGAAGAGGAAAATTAATACCAAGAGGAGGCAGAAAATGACTGTGTTAATAAAATAACTGAATCTCTTTCTGGGTGCAGTTTTCATATACTGCTCTATTGTGTTAATACACTATCATGTGTATGAAAGAAAAAATGACTAAAAAGATAAGATTGCACAAGATAGCATAGTTAAGACAAAAAAAGTGCTAATGCCACAACACGATAGTCCATGTTTGTCATGGAGAGGTTGAGTGTGTGAGAGACCATACCTGCTCCTTGACGTTATGTAATTCCTCTTGCAGTTCACCCATTCTGCGAGCCAGCTCCTTTTTCACATGCTGCTCTGACTGGATGGCAGTGGTGAGCTCCATGTTCTCATTAGTCTGTACGAATGAAGGAGTAACAGGAATTTGGCCTTTAACATCAGTCTCCCGTCTGAGGTAATACTTGTTAAGAATGTACTTTCTCAATTTGGGAAAACGTTGTCAAATTATTGTTGCAGAGACACAAATCACAAATCTAGTACAAATAAGAAAATCAGGGAAAAGATACAAGATAAATTCAGAAACTAAACGCATTTAAGGCAAGGTGGCCAGCTATAATCAACTGCATTTTCAAAATGTGTCATTAAAAAAAGGACAGATGGACAGCTAGGCCTCACCAGTTTGACAAAACCATTCTGTAGCTCAGCCAGCTGGTCCTTCAGTGTACGGTTCTGGGTGAGAGCACGGCTAATAGTGGCCTTGTCTGACTGAACATCCTCCAACATGCGCCGGCGGTCCTCTTCCTCCTGGACTTTGCTCTCCACCTGCCTCTCCAGCTCGCCCAGACGCTTCTCCTGCTCTGTACACATGCGGCTCAGCTGCTCGTTATCTCGCAGCTGGGGGAAATATTACAGAGGATGATTATAGAAACTTCAAACCAAAGACGACTAACGATCTTTGAACACATTATGTAAAAAACAGATCAACTAGTGGTACTCTCAAATGTTGTGAGACCATTATAAAACTCTGCACTGCATAAAATTCCACTTTTTCAAGACGTATAAGATCAAATAGGCCTGTTCAAGCTTGTGTAATGCATACCTGTCCCTGGAACTGTGCAGTAAGAGCGTCTTTCTCCTGTTGAAGAGTGTTGAGGGCCTCCTGCAGAGCCACCTCTCTCTCTGAGGGCCCCGTGGGATGAGGCTCTGCAACATCCTGAGCCTCTCTCTCCTGGGACAACAACGCTGGAGGGGAAGAGGAATGATCAAGTTTACTAATTTTGCTACAGAGAACTACACTAGACTGCGGTAGCTGTGTCACAAGTGTGGGCGCAGGATTTAGACTTGCTGTTCATATATTAATGCTTTTCAGATTATGCTGAACTAAATATTACCATAAACATACATGTCAGGGCTATGTCATATATTTTAAATTTCACTCTCAGACTGAGGTTAAATCTACTCTGGAGGGAAAAAAATCTGAAGCACACTGATTGATTTACACCCTATTAATAGACAAACGTTTGGGCAGTAATTAACATTTTGACACTAGTTTACAATAAACATCACCATTATGGCGGCACATGAACCAGTGTGCTCAAGCCTTCTTTCCCTCTGAAGTTTGCTCCCCTTGATCTCAGAAGCACCCTGATCAGGTATACACTGCTGGGTGATGAGGGGAACCCACTACTAGGGTCAGGCAATCAGACAGCTTATCACCAAAAGGTGTTCTTCACATCAAGCAATGCTGCAGAAAAGCAGCAGAAAAGAAGAAGCAAAGGACAGTAGGAACATCTTACCTGCAGCATTTTGTAGCTCTGTGATGCTGGCCTCCAGTTCTTGGACTCGGCTGATGTTTCTGTCTCTCTCCTCTGCAACCAAAGACACCTGCACAGACACAGAAATTGTCAAAGATCAATTGGTTAACCAAAATAAATAACAACCTAACAAAGAACATATCACTCGCTTTATTTCCAAAGCTATAGTCACACTGTAGTCTACGCTGATATTAGTGTATAGTTAACCTGTGTTAGCAGCTGTTCTGTTTTGTCCTTCCATACACGACCCTCCTCCTGGATCTGCTCTGCATAGCAGTCCCTCTCTCTCTGCAGCTGGGCAATCGACTCCATCAGCTACAACATCAAAAACATAAAGGGGAAAAACAAACATGACTTTGTGGACATTTGGAGATTTAGAAAAGGTGTCAAAACACTGTGCACCAACTAAAAGCCCTTTGGGTCAATATCCACACATTAAAATGACACACATGCAGATAACTGTAAGAGAAAGGTCCTTCCTTGTACAGACCTGGTGATTGTGTGCTTCCAGCTGCTGCTTCTCTTCTAGCAGTAACTGGACCTGCTGGCGGTCACTGGTGGGATCTGACTGACTGGAACACTGGAGAGAAATATAAGCAACACTGGAGTGAATGCAGGTAATACATGAAAGAAATCACATCTGGCTGCACTGTCAGCAAACAAACATTTAGGGTTCTAGATCGAAACTAATCCCAGAACATGGGCTTTTGTCTTAGATTGGCTAGTGTTGACCACTTCCAGCCATTGTTAAGAAAACATGTATGCAATAGAAAATGTCTTAGCACACCTGTTGCAATACGAGGTCAGTCATCTCAAGCCTCTTGTGAAGAACTTCCAACTCCAGCTTCATTGCTCCATTCTCCTGTGCACGCCCCTTTAACTGCTCTGAAAGCTCTGAATTCTGTTGCTTCAACTCCTCACTCAAATTGCTGCAAATACACAAACAGAGATTGTTCATCATTTTCGACCTACCAAATTCTAATAGGACTTGCTCATGTCATCTGGTGCATTGCATACAATTTGATGGGCTCTAAACACCATTTTACTTACTTTAATCTTAACACCTCAAGCCTCAGGTTGTCTCTCTCCTTTTCAAAGTCTTTGTTGTACTGAAGACAAAAAGGAAACCGTTTATTAAAAATAACAAAAGACTTTCAGAAACACAAAAACATCTCAGAAAATTATTCAAAACTAGTGAAATTAATGATGAAGGTATGTGCTTTTGTGGTTGATTGCCTATCTATATTGCATACATTGAGCAAATTGTGAGGTAAATAAGTTTGTTATATATTGCATCTCTATTATTCATGTCTCAATGCATTCTGTTTACTGGGAGTTCTTACATGTTTGTTACCTTTTCAAACTGTTTCTGCTGTGCTGAGAAAGATGAGAGAGTTCTCTCCAGCTCTGACACTCTCTGCTTTGTTGCCTGCAGACGGTTATTCAACTCGTCTGCCTCAGCTACACACACACACACACACACACACACAAAGAGAGAGGGTAAGGCCTTGCCGAGACGACAAATATTTGATTAAAGTGCATGTACAGCTGATTTTAAGACACACAACCACCCCCACCCCCACCTGTTTTCTGCCGCGCAGCCTGTTGTGTGTATTGTAGTGCTGTTTGTAGCTCTGATTTCTCTGATACCAATATACCAATCGTCTGGATGTGAACCTTATGAGAGAACAGACAAACAATGAGCAGAGCTTTTCATGAGACTAGATAATGTCAACTGATTTTACATCAAGTCCCTCATGATAAACTAAATACAACAGTTTACAGAGTAGTTAGAATCAGTGCTTCAGCCTTTGCAAAGCCGACTATACTTTTCTTGTCTGGGTGAGTGGGGAGGGTGTGTTCTCGGATCACATTTCTATCCCTTTTATACCAGGGTGACCCCATGGACTCTGACATTAAACATCGACACATTACACAGGAGTGCAATGAGGCTTTTTTTTCCTGCTGTGAAATTCTAAAAATCAGACAAAATCCAATTTACGTATTAGGGTAAGAGAAGTTACCTGTAATTGCTCCCGCATGGCTCCGTGCTCTTTCGAAAATCTCTGTTCAAATTCTTTTCGTTCCTGAAGGAAGAAAAAAAAAAAAAACCTTCATGAATCAACAGTAAGGAAGCGAAAATTCAGTAAGAATGAATACAGACAATCCAACAGACAGAGAGAAATAACGGTTTACCTTTTGTAGCTGATCTGAGAGCCCCTGAGATTGCTGCACCTGCCAGATGAACAGGATATAATTTTAAGTTTGGGAAAAGATAATCATTTCTTTCATAAACTAAGCAGTGTTGCACGTTCCTAGTTGTGTAACAACATTAGCAAAATTGTGGCACAAGAGACCTCATCTGCATGCCAGACAGGACAGGGATAGCGCAAAGTATTGAAACAAGGAACCTGTTCTGTTATCTATGTTATTTTAACATTTTGTGTTTATTTGAAGCTTTGAGGTTATTGCTGTTAATGAAAATGGCTTACAAGAAGGATTCTACCATCATGTTGTGACAGCCTTCACTGGCCGGTGTGCACCCAAATGCTCCTTATGCAGTCGTTATACTTAAATAAATAAATGTATTTTAGTCAGCCTTTGTGAAAGATAAATAAACAACATTAAAACCATGCATCACCACCTCTAGTGTTTGGTTACTCCAGATGACATGCAGAATGCACATAGTACATGCACTAAAACTAATGCGGTAATTGTGGGATGGCTGGACAGGGGTAACAATCGCACAAATGTGCACACACAAATATGCATACACACACAGCTTCTTACCAGCTGGTCTAGCTTGGTATTGAGCTGAGAGTTTGTTAGGTTGCTGGACTCCAGGGCGGCTGCCAGCTCCTGGTTCCGACTCTATTTCGTGCACACATGCATCCGGGAAAGGACAAAAGAAAAAAAGAAAAAAAAGAAACAAAGGAGAGGGATAAAGTGCAGTGGCAGAAGTCAAACAAAGAACACATGGGAGGAGGAGAAAAATTCAAATGTGAATTATCAACATGGAGGCTGACAATATAACCTTTATAAGTGGTGCAAAAATGTGTTTTCAATGAGATGTGAAGTGAATAATTTAAATAAATCATGGTGGTTAAACTGATTAATGGAGCAAGTTGAAAGCTAGTGGATCCTTCATTACAACCTTTTTGAGTATCAATTACAAGTTGTGGACGGGATCCATGTTACCTTAATTTCTCCAGACTGTCATATGCAGCCCCTGAGAGTTTCCAAGTTGCACTTAATGAACTAGTCATAGAGTCGTCTCAAATTGTGGTCAGTGAAATAACATTACATGGTGCAAAGGGGCAAAAAAGAATTAGGTAACATTTTGTTACTGTACATTTTTTACAGCCCTCACCAGCGAGACCACTGAACACAGTTATATAAAGGATTATGCTCATTTATAAACTGCCATTATTGCCTCGTGATATTTACCTATTTTTTTGTCATTAGCCAACAGCTTTTTCATAAAATATCAACCAACTACTTGAAATGCTGCAGGATGCAATCAGAATGCATTTTTAAAAAACACCTCTATTGTTTGCTTGCACTGTCGTATCACGTTATGATACATTTAAGCCCAGGGCTCACCTATAGTGGCTATGATGTACTTTGTGTGGTTAATTAAATTACACAAAGCCAGAAAGGTCACCCTCACACACAGAGTCAGTGGGTTTTGGGTAGAGTACACTGCCAGAGCTGCAACATGAGGATTATCATTTTAGATTGATAACTAGCAAGCATACTATCATTTTATAAATAATAAAGTGCTGCCAGAGAAAATCCATTCTATGTTGGACACAGTATGTTGATACTTAATTGAGGTTCACTTAATAGCCTCATGCCACTGTAATGTATATCGCATGGCATTAACAACCTATTGTATGACTGTGCTGACTTCTAAATTTGGTTTCAAATTTCAAAAACAAGTTTTCAGTTCACAGAAAGATTGAAGTCTCCCTCATACCTCCAGTTCTCTCTCAGTGCCAGAAGGTGCACCGTCCCCATTCACGTACGTAGCAGATGACTGAAACGACACAGACACCGCACATTAATGCACTTCCAACACAGAAAATGCATTATGCATTTTAAATCAAGTTTATATGCAGATCCTATGGGCAGCCTCAAGGCCTCGAAAGTGAATGTCCCAAATGACAACAAAACCTTTTTTTTAATTTATAAGACTGTTTCTGTAAACATAAGGAATATTATGAATGTATTTGAATAAGAAGCGACTGTCTCTACGAGCCTATCGATGAACTTAACTGGATGCATTGCAGATGGGCAATTTGTATAGTCAGCAGCGGCAACACCTGCATTTCACCACCATGTGGGGCAAAGACACCTTAACATATTTTCTTGAGAGAAATATAAAAACACTGTACTTATTATATTTGCCTATGTTCTATCTATTACACCAGCAAGATACTTTTGTGTCTTTTCATTTTCTTAATCCTTTTAGTTAGTAGATAGTACCTTCAGAAGAAGGTCAGTGTTAGCTATGTCTCAGACACTTGAAAAAAAGCAACCATAGTGATCTACTACTGACAGCAAAACCAACCCAAGTTGAGAGGAAATATATCAAGCTTGTTTGGTGCACCAGTTGATGCTGTCAGTTTGCTTGAGCCTATTGGGAACAACTGGCAAATTTTAAAATGCTTCCAGTGCATTCCTGCCAAGAATAGATGCAACATATCCTTGTTGAAAAGGTACATCAATGGTGGCGTGTTATTGTTAAAAGCCTAACAATGTAGGACAAAGTAATGCATGTGTGTGTGCGTGAGAGAGAGGGAGAAGCAGGATGACACTGGCGGTTCCAAAATCATACCTCAGAGACCAGGCCGTTCAGTTGCTGTGAGAGCTGTCGAAGGCTCTCTGTGGAAGACAGTGGTCTGCAGGACAACACACACATTAACCATGTCATTTACTCTTTTGCATTAGTAATTAATGGCTAGAGTAGCAGGATAGATTACACGCAGTAGCACTGCTTATAATACCTAATTTACGACAAAAATTGTTATGTTAAGGTAGTCCATAAGTTGTGGCACAAATATTTAATGTGGTGATGGTAGAATGAGACTTTAAAGAACAAGCTTATTTCCAGAGTTTTTTTCCTGCCCTTGCAAACAATCTATATCTCCTAATTCTATACATTATAGTGTTTAACTGCAAATAAATTATGTCCGTGCCATAATAGTGCAAAACCTTTGCAGGTATATTCCAGAGTAACTTTTTTAATATGCAAACTCTGCTCTGGGTATTTTTTGGCAGTGAGAAATCAGATAACCCACCTATTATCATCTGTTAAACTCTCATTGCCGTTGGTATCAGGATAGTCCTGCGGAAAGTGAGTATGATTGAAGGAGGAGGAGAGAGTGAGGGAGTTAAATAGAAAGAGAAGGAACACAGACAAAAAAACAGTGAGACCATTTGATAAAAAGATATTTGCGTGATGACAATGCACATTATGCACATCACAAACAAAGCAGGGGAACTGTTGTTTTCATCACACACATATATATTAGTAAAAATGCATCCACTGGCAAAAGTCTTAAGACTTAAGGTATGTACACTTAGATGTGATGGACATACGGGAGTAAGAATGACAGAGACAAGATTTGAGAGACAGAGAAAGAAAAGGTCACACAATATGACAGAAAAGAGAGACACACACACCTGCAGGTCATTGTTGTGACTGACACACTCAGGATTAGTAGCAGTGTTAGCGCTAGCAGGGTTAGACACAGGTGAGCCGTGACCAGGCTGGCTCTTTTGCTCTTCCAGCAGCTGGGGAACTGAAGACCCCATGGCCTCGACGTCAGCAAAGGTCTGAAGTGACACATACACAAAAAATGCACACACTGGTTCAATACCAAGAAAAAGAGCAGTTATAATGAAAGAGCAACAGAAAGGCCACAATGATGTCTCAAACTTAATGTGTGTTTACGCGCATGGAAATAACTTGATTACGGCACTGGCTCGGATTGAGGTCATAATTCAGTTAACTCAATTACGTCATTTACATGTCCAGATAACTGCATGTTAGTCCACAGTCATAAGAACATTGAGGGACTTTGTTGGTATTCATTTCTTTTTTTTCTTTTTTTTTTCTGTTGGTATTCATTTCTAGAGTCTTAATGCAAGCCCTTCTACTTATGGTGGCAGGAAAGCTGTTTTCACGCCAGACACTCTCTGAAATGTTTGCAGAATGAAGTGTAAAGCACTGAAAGACCTCAGACCATGCTGTATAAATGCCACCATTAGTTTGAATGGCTGAAAGAACCCTTCTCTATTACTTGAGTTATACTTACTCTGACTTTAAAGCTAATAGCAAGACATTTCTAGTAATCTGTAATACCAAATTACACTTTTAAGACTGCATGTTTATAAGAACAACAAACAAACACAGCAGTGTGAGAACCTAGTTGAAAAGCGAAACATACGTCTTGTTTTCCCAGATTCATGCCTGCATGATGCACAGATAGCACAGTCATGCACTCATGCAACCCATTGTGCATACCCTGCCCATCCACACTGCACTTCTCCATAAGATGGTGAACTCTAGAAGATCACCAACACCAACATTGGGATGAACACCCTCGACATTTCTCAAACATTAGTGCACTCTCTGGATTTAAAAAACACAACACTAATGCTAAGTTGCACTCAGGTTCGTCCCTTTTATTTGCTTTCTTGTCTATGTGACAAAAAATATGTGCACTTGACGTAAGGAGGTAAGAATGGGGAAGTCAGGTACAATATTAAACACCACACAAGGAGTAGCTATTTACAGCAGAGGAATGCAGCGAAAAATCATGCAGGGCAGAAACAGAGAGAGGAAAGAGGAAGAAAGGCTCACCTGGCTGTTGCCATAAGGAGGTAGGACTACTCCATTGCTTTGACTAAGTGCTTTCAGAATACTGTCAAACTACAGGAAAGAAGAAACAAGGGTGGAGAATGAAAGAGATGTGTAAGGGGACAGAAAGATTTAGAAAGGGATACAGACAAACAGGCAAAGAGAAGCAGCTGCTACAAGGAATCTGACTTTAGGAGGAGGGGGTCCAGAGGCAACTAGGGTGTTTGAAACTCAGGCTAGAGTGCGTGTTCCAAGAAGTCAGAAATATTTCAATACCACTTATAAATAAGAAAACCCTAAAAGTGACTCATGTAAACAACATGTAAATCAGAGTAAGTGGCATAATCCCTGACAAATTTACAAATTTCTAGCGCCTTCAACTTAATCTACAATCAGATCTATAAACTAACACACAAATGTTATTCAATTAGGGATGCACCGAAATGAAAATTCTTGGCCGAAGCTGAATAGAATGAAAAAATTTGCAGAATACCGAACAAATATATTCACATTTTTTACCACTGCATAAATTAAATAGTCAAAATGTGCTTTTTACTCAGTGTTTCCCACAGGATTTGGAGAGACTATGGCAGGTGGGTCTGAGGCCCGAGAGGGTCCAGTAAAGTAAATTACAAGTGTCCGTTTACTTTTAATGGACACATGTAATATGTTTTATACTTTATGTGAATATAATCCAATTAATCTTATTTCCATCCTGTACAGACACCTTATTTTGAAAACCAGATGTCACGTGTATCCTTGTGCTAATTTTGACCCCATTTGATAAATAATGTTGTATGTGATTCTCGTATGGTGTGACAAGACTTCACAGCCTCTCTTCAGGTAGGACTCTCATACTGCAACACTTCTCTTTGTAAAGAGAGAAAATGACAGGATAAAGTCGCTAACCTGCCTGTCAGCTCGCACCATAAAGGCTTGAATACGTGTGCACTCCAAATTTAGGTGTGGCTAGCTTAATTGCCTTTTCATAAATGAGTGACAAAAACACTCAAAGCGGGTCAGACCGTTTGTTGCCTTTTCTAAGAAGTCAGCCACAGATGGAGTGGATGTGCTAGGAGAAAATTCAGTAGAACAGTGTCTGCAAACGGCAATTTTGCATCTTTCTCAGACACTTTAAAATGCTTCTACACTGCCGACACGTCCACATAATTGTTTGGAAAAATGTCTTCGGCCTTTTGACGTATTTGACGTAGAACACCAAAAGTGCGTTTTTAGCTATTTTCGGCCGATTAATTTCAGTGGCCGAACATTCCGTGCATACCTATATTCAAGCACATTCAGTCAATAATGCTTTGTCTACTTACTTAAGAAGCAGGCAGAAATGGGAATCTTTGTAACATGAATTATCACCACGCGTAGCCATTTTTGTCTGCTTTCTGACCCCTAAAACTGAACTGTATGTGGTTATTGCCAGCATCACAATCAGATTTGTTTGTCTTATCCTGCTTCAGACCACATGAGTTTTTCCAGTCTTGGCCAAACAAAATCAAATATGTCTCAGGCTTAGTAGCAAGCTCTCGAGCTGTGACGAGCGTCAGATTCCATCAGGCTTAGAAAACTACTGACCGACATGGTGTGTGGAAAACTGACCCGAAAGTCAGCCCCTGTGTGTGAAAGCCGTGTGCTGGAGTCACATGCCTACTAACAGTGTATCCTCACTGCGCTCTCAATTTGCTTAAAAGAGCTGTAAAACTGAGCTTTATATTTGAATGTTACAGCAGTGATGAGCAGCAAATAAGCAAATTAATGTCCATGAGCTTAATCAGACAGGCATGTACCAGACTGGCTGTGTGGTACATGTGACAACTATCTCCCGTATTCTTCATATGAATGGGTTAGGGTGGCAAGACGGAAGCCTTTTCTTACAAAGAAAAACATCCAAGCCTGGCTGAAGTTTGCAAAAACAAACATCAAGTCCCCCAAAAGCATGTGGGAAAATGTGTTATGGTCGGATGGAACCAAGGTACAACTTTTTGGCCATAATTCCAAAAGGCATGTTTGGCGCAAAAACAACACTGCACATCACCCAAAGAACACCATACCCACAGTGAAGCATCCTGATATGGTTCTGTTTTTCTTCACCTGGAAACGGGGCCTTAGTCAGGGTGGAGGGAATTATGAACAGTTTCAAATACCAGGCAATTTTGGCACAAAACCTTCAGGCGTCCATTAGAAAGATGAAGATGAAGAGGAAGTTCACTTTTCAGCACGACAACGACCCAAAGCACACATCCAAATCCACAAAAGCATGGCTTCACCAGAAGAAGATTAATGTTTTGGAATGGCCCAGCCAGAGCCCAGACCTGAATCCAATTGAACTTCTGTGAGGTGATCTGAAGAGGGCTGTGCACAGGCGATGTCCTCGCAATCTGACAGATTTGGAGCGCTTTTGCAAAGAAGAGTGGGCAAATATTGCCACGTCAAGATGTGCCATGCTAATAGACTCCTATCCAAAAAGACTGACTGATGTAATAAAATCAAAAGGTGCTTCAATAAAGTATTAGTTTAAGGATTATTGTAAGGTTTTTATTCATTTTTCAATTTGTTTTTCAATTGAATTGTTCACATTATATGTCACATTAAAGGTAGAAAACGTTCTGACATGATTTATCTTTGTCTCATTATTTTACATCACAAGAACCTGGTATTTTAACAGGGGTGTGTAGACTTTTTATATCCACTGTATGTATGTGCAGGCCAACTTTGTTGCACATGACTTGACAAATGTTTACTTTACCATGCAATTACATGTGTGTGCTTGAAATTGCCAGTATATTTTACTCCATTAACTGTCTCTTGTCCAATGTCCTTCACTTTCTTGAAAAAACATTATTTTCACCCCCTAACCTGGCCAGCAGATACACATCAGTGCTGCTACTGCGTTGTTGGCACTGTGTATCTTTAATAGCAGGGAGAGATGCATTTGCCAACTTGATAGTATTTCAGCTGCATCATTTCACAAGAAGCAAAATATTTTGTGATCAATGGCCAAGCAGGCCATTACAAATCACTCTTTGTCAGGTATATATATATACTGCAGTTCTTATTTTAACGTTGCAGATTGTATGTGCTATGCATAACATGTACATACACAAAACAATGACTTGTGTCTGCTTATTGTAAGTAGCCAGCGAGATTAAATGTTTTCTAATGCTACATCAGTGTTACAAACAGTAAAAAAAACACTAGGTTAGAGAAACCAGTAATAAAAAGGACACAGAATGCCAAGCACAAAGAGAGATTGTTATTTGACCAACAAGGTCAGGATGACAAGCAGGCAAATAAAGGAAAAGACTGGGACTGACTCACATTGTCCGGCGAGTTTCTGTCTGTTGAAGGTGCATCGTGTTGGTTTGGTCCCTTCACCTTCCTCTTCTTCTTGGCCCCTGCTCCACCACCTCCTCCTCCTCCTCCTCCACCACCCTTTTCTCCTCCCACGCTAGCAGGGGAGCCCTTCTGCTGAAACTCCTTCAGCTGAGCAGCACATAAGAAAAAAAATGAAAAGTGTGAGAAGTGCAGCAAGCACGTCTCAACCGCTAGATAGAAAACTCCCCTGCTGCTGTTTTACAAAATTACCCTTTATGTTATTACTTCTCACAGATTTTAGCAGTAGGCCTCTGGAGTTCAACAAACATTGCTCAGAGCAAAAAATCTCTAACCACTGGAGGATCAAACTATCTGAATTACCAGTTGTGAATATGGTCTGGGATGAAACAGGGATGGTCTGCACCCATTCTCTACAATACACCAGCTACTCAAAACATAGGGATTCAAATGTACACTTAGGAATGCATAGCCACAGCCAACAAGGTATTGACTGTTACTCTGACTTCATTGTTCAATGGCTTACTGTTCTAAAACAAGATGAAGTTTATAACATGTGGCAAACTATGATCATCTTGCAGTGCAGTTTATCCATGTGAACATTAAATTACACTTGTCTGCGTGAGTTTGGCCATGGGGCCTGTGACAGCTGTCGTAGGGGACCAGAGGGAATGATAGAGTAACTACTGGTGCTGCCATGTCTAAAACGCTGGTGTTAAAATGTTATCATCACGACCATTCATCCAGGGCAGCAAACATTGCTGACGAGTCATTTCCTTAAGCTAACATTTCACAGCTGATGGGGCCATCTTTCTGACTAGCCTAACAACACACCTAGCTAAAGCACACAGCAGGACAGGGAAAAGGGGTGTCAGCTGTCAAAACAGCCCCCGTCATTCTATCCAGCTAACTGTGCTACAATGCTAGCTCAAGGTTTGTTTTAAAATAGCTGTTTGTTGGCCACTTTCTTAGATAACCGATTCATCCTGCAGACAAGACTGAAAGCTTACACTCACACATAGCCTGCTATACATTCGTTAGCCTGCTTGCTAACGTTAACTTGCCTTAGTTAGCACATTTAGGTTCGCTAATAACCACATTTAACGTTAGCTAGACAAGACACATGAAACCGTAGAGCAAAGAGAGTAAGTTAAGTTAATCACCGACTAACTAAACGACGTGGGATGCTAAAGTTGCCTCTAGGAACTAAAAATAGGCGACATAATCTGGTAAAAGTTAATGCTATCAATAGAGGCCCAGAAGGAGCACCGGTCTGTTCTGCGCAGTGAAGCCTCGAGAGTACCGAAAGAGATGAGACAAGCGACAGCGCAGAGGTCGGTCGACGTGTAATGACAACACCCCAGCCCCGTACAGGCATTTAAAACAACACGGAAAAAACACCACCAACACAAACCCGCAGCAGAGAGACAGGCCCAATGCTTTCCATGATATTAAGCCGGGTCAGCTGTAAAATACTTTACCTTTTTCTTAGCTGCAGCGAGTTTTATTTGCCTGCTCTGGTCGGCCATACCGCTGCTCTGGTCAACGGACCGAACCACGTCATCAGTTTGGTGTCTGTAGGTGTCTCTGCCTGTAGGGGGCGCAGCGCTCAGGCTGGAATCCTCACGTAAAAACAAAAATGTCCAGACATTAGATGGACACAAATCTAACCTATTTATTGTTTTATGGATTTTTTTTAAATTTACAAATCCCTCTTTCATGTATTATGTTAATATGTTTTAAGTATGAAATGTAAGGTGTCATATTCGTAATATAGCCTACTGTTTAAACAATGTTAACAAAATGCACCCCATTGTGACTTGATTGTCTCTGTGTTATTAAGCCTACTTGTAACTTGTCTTCCCTGTTTAATCTGTCACATTATAGCTTGTCTTTTTATATGCTTTTCAACTAAACTGGGTGAATACAGAGAAAGGGGAAATATTTTGGCATGGTAATTTTAGTCTTTTATCAACCTAACTTACATGCATTACATGTCATTGGAGAGTTCTGCAGAGCATCTGGTGAAATCCATGGACACTGGAAAGAACATGAAAACTGAAAGAAAAATGAAACAGGTCACGTCTAAGATTCTTACTGTGAGGTTGTAGTAAAGAAATCATATAAAAATAATAAAACAATACGACATGCTATTTGTACAAGAAAAATGGTTAAATTAATAATGACTACAATGAACTGCATATCAATGAACTGCATTTGTGTGATTATGTGAATATTAAGTGATTATTTCTGGCTCCATACATTCACACAACACATTTATCAGTTGCTAATTTAAGTAACATACACACATATTCTATCAAAGGACCAGAGGGTATTTTTTGTTAAAAATAAACACATCTATGACAATTATTAGAGAAGAATCTATTCAAAAATGAAAATGAAAAATATGTCTGGGACTGTGTAACTGAAAGTGAAAGAAACTGAATTGCTCATTGCTGTCTGAAAACAAAATTAGAAAATTTTAATAGTAGTTGCAAATAAATATCCACAATGTAAAACAAAAACAAAACCAAAAAACAATACTGGTAAGCGTATTAATAAGTGCCTGTCTGGCTGGGGATCAGCCATTCCTGCATCTGATCTGTCTCACTTCCTCCAGCATTCAGCCAGCAGTGTCATAGTTCTTCCTTCTTTTAGGGAAGGTGGCCTGTGCAAAAAGTAAAAATGTAGGACAAAAAATATTTGTGTCAGATCGAGTGCAGAATTTTTAGATTGCCTGTGATCCACCAATAATTAATTCTATGTATTCTATGCCAAGTAATGTTTATATATAGAAAACCAAGTCAGGTCAAAACAAGTAATTATTTTAGTGCACTCTAGCCAGGCAGAGACCAGAGGAGACCTTAGGGTAAAATTTACTCCCTGTTCCTGGTGGTGAAAAAAGTCAGCAGAAAGCAAGGGACACAAAAAGTCAAAGTTTCAGTAGAAAGAGCCAAACCATAAATGCTCATAATATTTCACCTGTTCCCAGTACAATACAAATGGTCTTGTTCAAGAATTTTACATGTCATACTTTTCTTCATACTAATGCAGTAGTATGCCTTATTCTGTCTTGTTTCAAGATACAGGCCATAATAGCAACTACAACAAAAGAGGTCAGAAGAGGTGAACATTATAATGTCTACACATTTGAAAGGGTTCATACAGACTAAAGTGTGGCTTTGACAACCAGTTAGCCACTTTTAACCTACTTAGAGGTTTGACATAGGAGATTGCATAAGAGAATACAGTGTATGTGGTTTTGTTTTATGTAGGCTGAACTGTAACTTTCTTAATCTACAGTGTACAAAATAAGTCAGTACATCATGATCAATATGTGATCACAGAGACAGCAGGCCGGAGAGTGCCCATGTTAGAAGGTAATAGTCAAATTATTGCAGACTGATTTCATTTCAAGGTGGATGTCATAAGCCATAATTTTAAAGTGATTAAACGTCCAGACAATCCAGTACATCTGATGTAACAACATATGCTTTTCATCTATGCATATTACACAGGGTTTGCTTTTTACATTTCTTACTCATTGCAGTGAGTCATCATTACTATTCATGATACCAACACATTATCCACACAGGTGCACTCATTGAAACACTTACAGCTTTACAAGTAATGTTAATCAAATACATGTTTGGCGATTATTTAAAAAAGTAGCACTAACTTCTAATGCACAAAATGTGAAAATGCACCCTTCCCTAGTCTTAAGAGTGGCGTGTCTTCGCTCCAACTGTACTCGTCAATCTGCTTGAAAACCAGTCAGCATCGGTACAGTGGGAAGAAAGTCGTGACGTCGCCTCGTCTCCATGTGTGCAAATCAGCGGCGGCCAGCGTGCTGAATGAAACCAATCAGCGCGTTCCAACGAGCAGCCACTCAGCCAATCGCTGGCCTCCACGACGGGGAAGAAGTGACGCCTTATATATGGAGAGAGCGCAGTTCATTCAATATCATTTCACAGAAGAAAGAATACAGATAGAGAAAAGAAGAGAGATACACTTTTCACGAAGAGGCTACTACCGGTTGAGACAACGTCAAGGCCGTTAAATTATTGACAATACTGCGATTACGGTATGTACAAACGTTGTGGCGAATATTATAATGCGACAACGTAATATTTTGTATTTTCTACAACGAAACGTTAGGACGTAATTTTAAGACAGTTTCATTATGATGAAGCCAGCTAAGCTAACGTTTGACAATGTGATGGATTTACCCGAACGATACAGTAGCTTTTTAAATTAGATGGACAGTCACTGTGTTTCCAATACCGTTGCAAAAATAAAGTTCTTGCAATATTATGGCAAGGTAGTTGCCCTCGCATGTGTGCTAGGCACGCTAACGTGGTTAGCTAACTTAGCTTAACTGTTGCCGGCGAATGGGGAAAAAAAAAAAAAAAAAAAAAGTCTCCAGTGTTAACATTCGGTAAAGGGTGTGGTGCTCCACCCAGGTTACCCATATTCTTTAAACGTTTTCTGGGGATTTCTTGGCAATAGCCACGCTTTCCATCTATTAATGGGTCTGAATCCCAGTAAACGACACCAAGCGTTACCATTAGCCGGCAGTTAGCTTCGTGAACTTGAAAGGCAGAGAACCCACGTCATGGACGCAAGGCCACGTTTTTCTAACATTACATTTGTTCTTTGCAGGTTTCTTTAGAGATCGGAGTTCAAACATTCAAAGATGAAGCTGTTGTGGGTTGTAATGCTGGTGGCCGGCACCGTGTTTGCCGATGACGACGAAAAGAGAGAGAGTGTGGGGACTGTGGTTGGAATTGACTTGGGGACCACCTACTCCTGGTAAGAAAAAATAGTCACTTCTGCCTTGAGTGTTTTTATAAGACTTTTATCCCCAACCTAGAAGATGCACACACTCATTTGTAGAAGACAGTGTAATGATGCAACTTTGAAAATTAAACAACATTCAGAAATTGTTGCCTTTTTCAAGTAATCATTTCTAAAATGCTTTCCTGTAGTGTTGGAGTGTTCAAGAATGGCCGTGTGGAGATCATCGCCAATGACCAGGGTAACCGCATCACCCCATCATATGTGGCCTTTACCAGTGAGGGTGAGCGTCTGATTGGTGATGCTGCCAAGAATCAGCTGACCTCTAACCCTGAGAACACAGTCTTTGATGCCAAGAGATTGATTGGGCGCACTTGGAGTGACTCCACTGTGCAGCAGGACATCAAGTACCTGCCCTTCAAAGTAAGTTTCTACACATGACAATTTTGAATGTAAAAGTTATGGTTATAGGGTCTAAAGGTCCCCAGGTAATGTTTGCTCGACATACTTACCTTGATATATTAATATTGATGCATGTTCCCACTTCAGGTTACTGAGAAGAAGAGCAAACCTCACATTCAAGTTGACATTGGAGGTGGCCAGATGAAGTCCTTTGCTCCGGAAGAGATCTCTGCCATGGTTCTGACTAAGATGAAGGAGACTGCTGAAGCTTATCTGGGCAAGAAGGTACAAAAACCCCATCAAAATAAACATCAAAGGATACACCACTCCAAAAAACAAAACCCCATCTGTATTGAATCTAATGTTGTCATATTTTCCTTAGGTCACACATGCCGTGGTCACGGTCCCTGCCTACTTCAATGATGCCCAGCGCCAGGCCACTAAGGATGCTGGAACCATTGCTGGTCTGAATGTTATGAGAATCATCAATGAGCCGTAAGTGTCGAATGTAAAAGTCTTGTTTTGAAAATATTTCCTACCCTTCCTCCTATGATTTTTTTCTATACTTGTATTCTTTAGAACTGCTGCTGCCATTGCTTATGGTCTGGACAAGAAGGATGGCGAGAAGAACATTCTTGTGTTCGATCTGGGTGGTGGCACTTTTGATGTCTCCCTTCTGACCATTGACAATGGTGTTTTTGAAGTGGTTGCCACCAACGGTGACACTCATCTGGGAGGTGAAGACTTCGACCAGCGCGTCATGGAGCACTTCATCAAGCTGTACAAGAAGAAGACTGGCAAAGACGTGCGCAAGGACAACCGTGCTGTGCAGAAGCTGCGTCGTGAGGTTGAGAAGGCAAAGAGGGCGCTGTCTGCCCAGCACCAGGCCCGCATTGAGATTGAGTCCTTCTTTGAGGGAGAAGACTTCTCAGAGACCCTGACCCGTGCCAAGTTTGAAGAGCTCAACATGGTAATTTATACATCTGTTCAGTTGTGTAAATATAATGACTAACAACTGAATCTGTTTTTTGTTTTATTTAACATTTTTGTTTGACAAACCTTTAACATTCTCATTTTACTTTATCAGGACCTGTTCCGTTCCACCATGAAGCCTGTACAGAAGGTGCTGGAGGACTCTGACCTGAAGAAGTCTGACATTGATGAGATTGTCTTAGTTGGAGGCTCCACCCGTATCCCTAAAATCCAGCAGCTGGTGAAGGAGTTCTTCAATGGCAAAGAGCCTTCTAGGGGTATCAACCCTGATGAGGCTGTAGCATATGGAGCTGCTGTGCAGGCTGGTGTGCTTTCTGGAGAGGAGGATACCGGTAAATCATCTTTCTCATACATTGTAGAATCTGTTCCATTTAACGTAACTTGCCAGCTTTATCCTGTTTACTAAAAATCTTCCTCTTACAGGTGATGTGGTTCTTCTGGATGTGTGCCCCCTGACCCTTGGTATTGAGACCGTTGGAGGAGTAATGACCAAGCTGATCCCCAGGAACACTGTGGTGCCCACAAAGAAATCCCAGATCTTCTCTACAGCCTCTGATAACCAGCCCACTGTCACAATTAAGGTTTATGAAGGTAAGAGTTTGACATTGCTGAGTAAACTTGCCAAACATGAATTTAAAAAAAAAAATCTGGTTTTAAACCTTTTTTTTTTTTTTTTTTTTAATGCAAACTGAATATTGCACAAGATTAATTATTGAATCTCCCCTTAGGTGAACGTCCTCTGACAAAAGACAACCATCTGCTGGGCACTTTTGACCTGACTGGCATCCCTCCTGCCCCTCGTGGTGTACCACAAATTGAGGTCACCTTTGAGATTGATGTCAACGGCATTCTGCGTGTCACCGCTGAGGACAAAGGCACAGGCAACAAGAATAAGATCACAATCACAAATGACCAGAACCGCCTGACGCCTGAAGATATTGAGCGCATGGTGAACGATGCTGAGCGTTTTGCAGATGAGGACAAGAAGCTGAAGGAGAGGATCGACGCCCGCAATGAACTTGAGAGCTACGCCTACTCTCTGAAGAACCAGATTGGTGACAAGGAGAAACTTGGCGGCAAGCTGTCAGATGATGACAAGGAAACCATTGAGAAGGCGGTGGAGGAGAAGATTGAGTGGATGGAGTCGCATCAGGATGCTGACCTGGAAGACTTCCAGGCCAAGAAGAAGGAGCTGGAGGAGGTGGTTCAACCAATTATCACCAAGCTTTATGGTAGTGCGGGCGGACCCCCACCTGAGGGAGCCGAAAGTGAGCAAGATGAGAAGGATGAGTTGTAGGCAGGTTTGAAGTCAACTCTTCTGTCGCCCCTTGCCTCTCTTGATAGTGGCACCTAGATGTATATATTGGACTGATGGGACTCAAATAGTGAGAGGAATGGTTGGGAAGGGGTGGCGATGATAAGCAACCATACTGAATCTTCTAAAAGACTTTAAAAACAAGTTTCAGTGTGTGAGAGGTGTTCTCTTCGCTGAAAGGCGGAGATATTCGTCAGCCCGGATATGAGGCTTGCTGCTGTTCTCAGGCAGTCCTGATGAGGTTCTGTACAGGGGAGGGACTTAGTGTACAGGGTGGGGGGGGGGAGGGGCGCAGGTGTTTGTGGGTCTGGGGTTAAGGGCTCAGTATGTTCACAGGCAACAGCAAAAGTTATTTATTGAATCTGGTCATTGTACTTCTGGAAAGACATTGAAATAAATGTTTGATACAAAATGTTACTTGATTGTCTCTTATTACAGTTTTAGGATACAACCTTTGGCATAGGCCACCAACTGTCTTATGAATGTGTCCAACACTTAAAAAAAAAAAAAAAAAAAAAAGGAAAATCACTGGCACAAATGATTAACATTTCAACTTTCCTTACATTTCAACCATCCAGATTTATGCTCCAGAACTCCAAATTTGCTAAACATTGTTTAAAATTCCCCTCTTTCCAATAACACAAATTTTTACATTTTACAAACATTTTATTACAACTTAAGTAGATAGATGAATACTGTAACATGAAGGCAAATCATGTCACCACAGTCATAATACAGTCATTATAAATGACACCCTGGGTGTCCATCCCTCCAAATACAAAGACCAGATCGATTGTCTCTGAGGCTGCTGGGCTGTTGGCTTGCTCCTCATCTCCCTTCCCCTCACCACACACCTTCCATGGCAATAAACACATGGAGTGGTCTAGGCGGTTGGGTGGCATATCCCCTTCAAACTTCATGAGGACCCATCTGCTTTTGTCTGCAAACAGGAGATAACGTCCAACTGTTATGTAAACTCAAAAATTAAGGAAGTAAAGTACCCCATTAAGTGTATGTAATAAAGTGTTGTGTATGACAAAGTATAAAAATTCACATTTTAAGGGTTTCTGAAAAATTGTGTACCAGTGTTGAATCTGTACATGGAGTTGCTGGCTCCATCTGCAGTCATCCCCCCAAAAATGTAGATGTTCTTTCCCAGCGCCACAGCTGAGTGGGCTGCTAGTCCTGGTGGGATGTCTCCTTCGGCTTGCACTTCCTCCAATTTCAAGCTCCCTTTAAAACGTGGACACATGGTTGTATTTAAAAACAAAACAAACTTCTACTACATTTCCATCCGCTATTATCATCTTAGATAAATGAAAGACTGCTGGGAAAGAGATATACTTGGATCCTTTTATTATCACATAGGAGAGTTCAGGCTTACTTGTGTCAAGCGTGTACATATCATTGTGAAATTTGTCTCCAGCCATGCCTCCATGAATGTAGATCTTTGAACCCACTGCTATGATGATGTGGCCATGTCTGGCGGACAGGTGTCTGCCTTGTGTTTCTGGTTGGGACCAGGTGGAAGACACTGGGAACACCAAATCACATTTTTGGTTATTGTTGTGGTCAAGACAAGTAAATATAAACTGAGGAACAAATTGTATAGGGCACAAACAAACTGTGTTTAGCATTTCTTAACATTGAAACAATTATTTTGTTGTGAACAGTATCTGGAGGCAGAATAAGATAGTAAACCCTTCATTACAACATGCGATTATGCATTATTTAATGGCAGCTATTAAAAATGTCAAATGCTATTAACTAAGTTCGACAGAGTGGAAATCTATCACAGATACATCTTTGCACATATTATATGATGTCAGGTAGCATTAGACGATAAAGCTTACATACACTACTTGATTTCAAAATTACTAATCTATGGATCTGTTACTCTGGTATATTTTAAATTGAGGATTACCATACCCTTGAAAATGCCTATTTTGGCAGAAGACACTTTGACTCGTCACTGCAGGAAAAGCATGTGTTACTAATTATATTAATGACGGCTCTGTTACATTTAAATGTCCCTGTCGACAATTCCAGTGAGCCAGCATGCAAAAAAAAAAGGTCCTTGGAACTGGCACACCTAAATGAACTGCAGCCATGATAAATTAAGAAATTATTAACACCGGTGCTTTACCTTATATATGTTTTATTTAAACAGAATAAAAAAAATTATGACACTTTTTAATGCCTCGTGAAATCAAATAATGATTTTGGTATAAATTTTCACCAAAACAGAAAATACTCATTTTGTCACTTTTGCAATCATAAATATCTCTAATCTTCTTCCCAAATATAATCACAATGACAGACTGGATACATACAGTGTGACACGAATATTAAAAGCCTTACACAGCCACACAGGTGTTTTCTATTGTTCTTCTTGATTAGACCTCTGCTCGGGTTTGAGAGCAGTTATGTGTGGAATTACCACCACAATTGACCATGCGAAGTCACCAAACACCATATACCAATAAATATGGTCAAAGTAAAAGTTCGCCTGCCTTAACAGGTGCAACAAAAATAAGAGGGAAGTCAGCGAGATGTCAGTCATGTGTGTAGGACCTTTAAATGCCACTAAACATGTGCACAGTTTGAAATCTCCTTCTGTATCACAATTTTGTTAAGCAGCTGATTTAACACAAACCTGTATCAAAGACATGGAGATTGGCATCTGAGACAGGTGTAGCTCCTGCTTCCCCACCAGAAATTACATACAGTCTGTCCCCTAGGCTGGCTGAGTTGGTGTGGTATGTCCTGGGACTGGGGGGTTTGCCATTCACTCCTACATTCTTCCAGCGAGACCCACTATCTGGACACACATGGACATGATGGATCATACTCAGTTTATATAAAATCAATGGTGGTCACTTAAAGTGCAAAAAAACTTTTCTGGTCATAACACAGCAAAAAAATTGTTTACCACCTATGTACATGTATGATGTATATGTACAGTTGCAGGTTTTCATTGCAACTAAACACTACAGCATATGATTTACAGTAGAAAAGCACCTTGAGTAATGTCATGTTAAGTGCTATGCTACTAATGTAGAGTACACAATACTTGGGGAAATTAAGTTAGGATTTACCTGTTAACTGTAAATTCTGGATACAATTGCGATTGCCGCTCTGCTGTGCCCCCCCAAACACCCACAGGCTCTGAGGGCAGCTCTCTGGCACAAAGCTGCAGTGTTCATAGCGTGACTCCAAACCCTCCCATTCTGGGATGTCCCATTCATGATTATCTGACGAGTCAAAAAGGGCAAAAATGCAAACAAAGACCTATGATATGAATGCAAAGGGAACTCATTAATGCTCTTGCCAAGTGCATACTGTAACAGTTTTGGTGATCCCACCAAAATGTAAGACTGAACGGCATGGTAAGTATTTCCTGCCTGCTGCCATCAGACTTTTTAAAGTGAAATGACTGTACAGGCATTTTATTGTTGTATTATAACATATTTTTTAAATGTATGTGAAATTGGCACATGTGGTGCAATAACTCTCAAAGCACTTGGTTTTATCTATGTTATTAGTATTATTATTATTATAGGGTACTGTAAATTGTACTTACAGTCAAAGCATTACAAACTAATTTTAATTTATTTTGTGAAGAGTGGCTTATAAAACACAGCTATGCAGATGTCATATCCCTGGACAAAGTATTTGCTGTTGTTTTTTTTTTTTTTTACCTAGATTTATGATATGTGAATGTGAGAAACTGCCGCTGGGATTGGCACCTCCAACAATAAGGATTCTTCCTTTTCCTCCATCTTCAGATGGAATAAACGTGCAGGTGTGACCCACACTAACACCCGGAGCACTTCCCCTCGGTATCAAAGAATACCTGTTGACAACAAAACAATTTCAGCAAGGCACTACATTTTTGTTTTTACCTTTGTTTAACACAAAGTTAGATCATTACATCAAAACTGCAACAAACCAATCTGCATTGACATACCATATTCCTTCTTTGGGTTTATCAAGTGGGTCAAGTACTGGGAGAAACTCCATGGCTGTCAAAGATAAATGAATGAACGTTGTGTTAATATTTTTTCATACTTCTCTCGACAGGGATCAATTACTTACATTTTCAGTGGTGATCGGGTGCGATAACAAATAGCTATAATACTCTACAAGTCAAAAGTATTGTTCATTTTACTTATTAGCAACTCTCTTAGCTAATGTTAGGTTGTTGAAGCCATTACGTGAAATCTCGCTAAAATCAAAGCAACCCAAATATGTAGATGTTTTTATAGTTCTTCTTGTAAACGGTTAATGAACGGTAGCTTATGAAACACATTCGTAATATAAATATTATCTGTGATATAGGGCTTAATTTAGCAACAATTTCACTGAGAGCTGTCAAGCTAACTCAAATGAACATGTAAGGAGACTCCTTCCCACTAACCTGTTCTTCCGGGTTCAATGAGGAGAGATTATCCGTGTCATTCGACACCAGTCTGTAGTGTCTGGCACTAACGTTACGTTCTAACGTCCATGCAATGACGGCGGTTATTATATCTATATGCAATCTGTAAAATTAGCTTTCTCAACTCTACTACGTTAAAAACAGAAACGTTACGCAAATTATTGCGTTGGCCACGTTGGTTGATGCCATGCACGTTCTATGGGTCCAACCGTAGTTGCCAGGGTTACCTGAAGCGCATGCGCAGCATGTAGCAGTGAGCTACCACAAAAATCCTATTTTATCATGCGAAAAACATTCATGTGTGTTAGTAAAGCAACCTCCTCTGACAGTTAAGACACTCAGAACAGTGCCTTCAGTAAAATCTCCCACTTCAAGTAAAAAGGTAGGTTATGGGTGAATGCGGCGCTGCACTTTTTTGCATAGATAATTAGAGTCACAGAGCTAACGTTAGCTAACCTAATTACATTTCTTTCACTTAAATACATGCCAAAGTTTAAAATGCCCAGCAGTACATTTGACAAGCAAGTATGTCTGTTTTGATGATATTTTCAGGTTATCAATAAACTCTTATGCAATAAAAAAGGCCATTTTAGTGGCTGCACAGATGGCGGCAGAAAGTGCCAAAATCCATCACTAAAAGCCTATCTATATTTATTCCATTATTTTATAGAGAATAGGAATTACTTTATTAATACAACATAACAGTTACTTGCTTCAGATGAGGAAAAGGTTTCTCAAGGAAGTTTATAAAATGACTACTGTGCAGCAGAGGGAATATATTTTAATTCAACTGCCCCTGTTTGCCATAAAGTGCCACTATTCAATTCAATTCAATTCAATTCAATTCAATTCAATTCAATTTTATTTATATAGCGCCAAATCACAACAACAGTTATCTCACAGCGCTTTTCATAAAAGAGCAGGTCTAGACCGTACTCTGTGATGATATTTACAGAAGCCCAACAGTTCCCACCAAGAGCAAGCACTAGGCGACAGAGGCAAGGAAAAACTTCCTTTTAAGAGGCAGAAACCTCGAGCAGAACCATGACTCAGGGTGGGCGGCCATCTGCCTCGACCGGTTGGGGTGAGAGAGAGAGAGAGAGAAAGAGAGAGAGAAAGAGAGTGAAAGAGAGAGAGAGAGAAAGAGAGTGAAGAGAGAGAGAGAAGAGAGAGAGAGAGAGAGAGGGATGTAAGGAGAGAGAGAGGGGAGGGAGGCAGCCTACACAATATACACACAGAGGTACAGACAGTGAAGGTAATGCTGCTATAAACTAAATGAAAAATGGTACAGATATTTATAATAGTGTTAATGGTAACCATCATAATGTTAATGATTATAATAACAATAATAACAATAAGACTAGCAACAATAGTCGTTGCAGTAGAGGGTGTCGAGCAGGAACACGGGGGCAGCAGGCGACCCGCAGCCACAGATCCAGACTCCACAGCTCCAGAGCCAGAAAACCTGCAGGAAGTGATAGGAGGAGAGAGGAGAGGGACGAGAAAGCACAAGACTACCAGAAAGGGGAGAAGTTGTGTTAGTAACATGCAATAATGGGATAAGGTTGCATACAGAGGGAGAGAAAGTAGAGGAGAGAGGAGCTCAGTGCATCATGGGAAATCCCCCGGCAGTCTAGGCCTATAGCAGCATAACTAAGGGATGGTTCAGGACTACCTGAGCCAGCCCTAACTATAAGCTTTATCAAAGAGGAAAGTCTTAAGCCTACTCTTAAATGTGGAGATGGTGTCTGCCTCCTGAACCCAAACTGGAACCTGGTTCCACAGGAGAGGAGCTTGATAGCTGAACGCTCTGGCTCCTAGTCTACTTTTGGAGACTCTAGGAACCACAAGTAACCCTGCATTCTGGGAGCGCAGTGGTCTGGTGGGGTAGTAAGGTACTATGAGCTCTTTAAGATAAGATGGTGCCTGACCATTAAGAGCTTTGTAGGTAAGAAGAATGATTTTAAATTCTATTCTGGATTTTACTGGAAGCCAATGCAAAGAAGCTAAAACAGGAGAAATGTGATCTCTTTTCCTGGTTCCTGTCAGAACACGTGCCGCAGCATTCTGGATCAGCTGAAGAGTCTTAATGGACTTTTTCGAGCAGCCTGATAATAAGGAATTGCAGTAATCCAGCCTAGAAGTAACAAATGCATGGACTAGTTTTTCTGCATCATTTTTAGACAGGATGTTCCTGATTTTCGCAATATTACGTAGGTGAAAAAAGGCGGTCCTTGAAATTTGCTTAATGTGGGACTTAAACGACATGTCCTGATCAAAGATAACTCCAAGATTCCTCACAGTGGTGCTGGAGGCCAAGGCGATGCCATCTAGGGAAACTATATCTTTAGATAATGCGTCACGGAGGTGCTTAGGCCCCAGAGCAATAACTTCAGTTTTATCTGAGTTTAACATAAGAAAATTACAGCTCATCCAGGTTTTAACATCCTGAAGGCACATTTGAAGTTTAGCTAACTGATGAGTTTCATCTGGCTTGATCGATAGATATAACTGAGTATCATCTGCATAACAATGAAAGCTTATGGAATGTTTCCTGATAATATTGCCTAAAGGAAGCATATATAAAGTGAAGAGGATTGGTCCAAGGACAGATCCTTGAGGAACTCCATGAGTAACTTTGGCGTGCATGGAGGACTCATCGTTAACATGTACAAACTGAAATCGATCTGATAAATAGGACTTAAACCAGCTTAGAGCGGTTCCTTTAATGCCAATGAAATATTCCAGTCTCTGCAATAGGATCTGATGGTCAATGGTATCAAATGCAGCACTAAGATCTAATAAAACCAGTACAGAGACAAGTCCTTTGTCTGATGCAATAAGGAGGTCATTAGTAATTTTCACCAGTGCTGTCTCTGTGCTATGATGAGCTCTAAATCCTGACTGAAAATCCTCAAATAAACTATTGCTCTGTAGAAAGTCACACAGCTGTTTAGCAACTGCTTTCTCCAGAACCTTAGAGAGAAATGGAAGGTTAGATATAGGTCTATAGTTGGCTAAAACATCCGGATCAAGTTTGGGCTTTTTCAGAAGAGGTTTAATTACAGCTACTTTAAAGTACTGTGGTACATAGCCTGTTGATAAAGATAGATTGATCATATCTAGTATAGAGGTGCTGACTAAGGGTAAAACATCTTTAAGCAGCCTAGTCGGGATGGGGTCTAAGAGGCAGGTTGATGGTTTAGATGAAGAAATTATTGAAGTTAGTTGGTAAAGATTGAGGGAAGCAAAACAGTCTAAACATGTATCTGGTTCTACAGCTGTTTCAAAGGTTTCTGAGTTAAGAGATAAGTTGGTGCCAATTGAGGGCAGGTCTTGGTGAATTTTGTCTCTAATAGCTAGAATTTTATCATTAAAGAAGCTCATGAAGTCGTAACTACTGAGAGCTATGGGAATACTTGGCTCAATAGAGCTGTGACTCTCTGTCAGCCTGGCTACAGTGCTGAAAAGAAACCTGGGGTTGTTCCTATTTTCCTCTATTAATGATGAGTAGTACGCTGCTCTGGCATTACGGAGGGCCTTCCTATAAGTTTTAAGACTATCTTGCCAAATTAAACGAGAATTTTCCACTTTGGTGGAACGCCAATTCCTCTCAAGTTTCCGTGATATTTGCTTTAATTTGCGAGTTTCAGTATTATACCATGGAGCTAACCGTCTTTGTTTTAGTATTTTCTTTTTTAGAGGGGCTACAGAGTCGAGTGTCATTCGCAGCGAGCCTGCAGCACTATCAACAAGATGATCGATTTGGGAGGGACTGAAACTAGCATAGGAGTCCTCCGTTACTTTGTGACTAGATAATGTATTTAGAGCTGATGGAATCGCATCCTTAAATTTAGCTATGGCACTATCAGACAGACATCTTGTATAGAAATTTTTGCCCAATGGCGAGTAGTTCAGCAATACAAACTCAAAAGTTATCAAACAGTGGTCGGATAAAGAGGGATTCTGTGGGAACACCACTAAATGTTCAATTTCAATACCATACACCAAAACAAGGTCGAGGGTGTGGTTAAAACAGTGAGTCGGTTCATGAACACTCTGAGAGAAGCCGATGGAATCTAACAAAGAGATAAACGCAGTACTGAAGCTGTCATTCTCAACATCTACATGAATATTAAAATCCCCTACAATAATAACTTTGTCCGTTTTAAGGACTAAAGTTGACAAAAACTCTGCAAATTCAGATAAGAATTCAGAATACGGGCCAGGTGCTCGGTACACTATAACAAAAAGAATTGGTTGCAGTGATTTCCAACTTGGGTGCGAAAGACTAAGAACAAGGCTTTCAAATGAGTTATAGTTTAGTTTAGGTTTAGAGCTGATTAATAGGCTAGAGTCGAAGATAGCTGCAACTCCACCTCCTCTGCCTGTGCCTCGAGGAATGTGAGTATTAATATGACTGGGAGGGGTGGATTCATTTAGGCTAACATATTCTCCATCACCCAGCCAGGTTTCAGTAAGACCAAATAAATCAATATCATAATCTGATATTAGTTCATTTACTAGTACACCTTTAGAAGAGAGAGATCTGATGTTTAAGAGTCCACATTTAACTCTCCTATTCGTTTGCACTATTGCTCTTGTGGTTTAGCACTAGCTGCCACAGAGTTCCACTATCTCAGAAGTCCAAGAGTGGCACCTGGGAAATAAAGTAAAAATCTTCTTTACCGTGCAGCAGACAATTATTCATACTTGTCCACCCAAAAGGACAATATTCATTATGACACCACACACCACACACTCTGGCCTTCTACTAAAATCACCATACACCATACAAATCAAATTACTAAAATCACCAAAAGGTCGAGCCATACAAATAATTTTTTTTAACATTACAGCTACATTTTACTCTTTGTGAGATTATGTGTTATAGTACAGACAGATATCTCTTTCTCTGTAAATGAAAATATGTGTTGCAGACTGATTTCCCCAACCCTT